CAGAGTCTTGGGCTTTTTTTTTTAAAAGCACAGTGTGATTTAAAAGAATCATACTCTAGATGATTCTAATGTGCAGCTGAATCACTGAGCATTTTCTGCCCCCTTGATTCCTAATACTATTTACTTAAAATTTCCCCAAGCTAGTTGGATACCTATACCACTGTAACATATTAGAAATTCCTTTCTAACTTGTCTGTGAACAATGATGTATTTCCGTATTTCCACTTTTATGTTTTAATAATGCTAATACTTTTGAATTCTTAGGATGTGGTAAACCTGGTGGTAAGTGCTTTATCTCTTTACCACTTTTTTTATTTTGCTTTGCTTACTGAATAGTTATGTCTTATATAATTTTTCCTCCAGGAGAGGCCCTGTATATACTAGAATCAACATTGTTTTGCAACTTGTTGTTAATGTCTATCACGTTATATTTCTGTATCTACTGGTTAGAAGCCCAACACAGGAAAAGAGAGGGAGAGAAACGAGAGATGGGATGATCTTATAGAAAAAAAAAAGTTTTTCTGATTTGTTTAAACACATTACACTTAGTACTTGTAAATCTTGGATGGGGTTCTCTAGAAATGGATGAAGATTCAGTAATTCCAAGGGGAAAATTCCAAGAATACTTATGATTCCATCTTAAGGCAGCTGATTTTCCTTTTGCTAATGATTAATGCATTTCTTTCATTTCCAACCAAAAAAAAAAGAAGCCACTAATTTTTTTCCTAAAATGTAACTTCCTTTGGAACAAATTATAGTACCATAAAGAACAATGATATGGTTGTTTCAGATAAAGGGGTTTTAACTGAGGTGATTTTTAAGTATATATTTATTTTTATCAGTATCACAGTTGTGGATAACACTTCCTTTCCGGGCCCTATGCTCACTCTCCACAAGGTGGCACTGTTGTACACAGCTAGACAATATTCCTCATAGCAATATTTTCAGAATTAACGTTAAGAAAATTTCCTGTTTTAGTTCCTGAAATATATCAATTGTTTCAAGCTTCATGAGGTCTGAGAGCCATCAGGAGTTATATCTTTAACTTGTAGACCTGTGGCTTAGCAAGGTGTTTAATAAATGGTACTTAATCAACGTTCGTTAGACGAATAAATGTGCGCGTGTATGTCCCATGAGCAAAAGCCCCGGGGGGACTGGAGGCTCAAACAACCTAGGAAGTAAGGAAAGCAAGTGCCATGCACCATCTTTATTTGCCATCTAAGATTTCTTCAATACTCCATTTTTCTTTTCCCTGTTTTTATACTGGTTTTGACAAGAACACTCACCCTAATGCAAGAGATGGCCCATGTCCTCACCTACCCATTTCCCTTCTTAAAATGGGAAAAGCAGGTATCTGATCCTACTACAGAACACAAAATTAAATATAACAAAAATGTGACTGTGGGAAATATCAGTTAGTAAAATATAGCCATGCAAATCCTATGATATGTGTTGCCAAGAAAAAAAATTCCTGAGTAGTTATTCAAGGCTTGATAAACCCATGATTGGAAAGGACCTTGCTGGGAAAACTGGTGGTGGGAAAGCACTATGTGATGTCAGAGTTCAACCTGGGCTCACATAGTGACTACACATAAGTCACTTTACCTCCCTGTGCTAGTCCTCAAATGAGGAGGTGGACCCTGTAGTGGTACTGTGTACTCTCACAGCTTGCATCTCTATATTTTTCTTCATTTTATGACTTATATGATCATTATGTAAACACTTAAGGAATAAGCAGAGAATTTTACATGTTTGTTTTGAAAGGAAAGAATTGGTTTTAAACAGCTGTAAAATGCCAGGGTTTTTTGTTTTGTTTTTTTTTTGGTATCAAATATAAATATTCCTCTGATTTTTTTGGTGTCAAATATAAATATTCCTCAGTTTTCACATACCATCAATTTTCCAAAGCAATATGGACTTTCATTATATTATTCTTTAGAATGTTGTATGAAGTCAGCTTGAATAACATTTTTTTGCCCAGGATTTGAATGATCAAGTTACATGGTATAGATTATTATGTTAATATGTTTTTCAGGAACCTGTTTCACATCATAGACTGCTAGGAAACCAAGATAAAGGTCACCAAATAGGATCTAAATAAAGCTAATATAACCTCTTCACCTGTCTTGGAAATTAGCAAGCATCACTATAGTTAGGTTGATACCCACTAACTACTAGACTCAATGTAATTGAAAAAGACTGGCTCAGTTAGGTCCAGGTCCTTGTGCTACATAGACCTTCACCCCTTGAAAGCATTAGAAATTAACTTTGACACCAGAATGAGAACCAACAACTCAGAAATCATTTTAAAAAACCCCAAAAATCTAAATCATTATTAAACAAAGAACTGAGATCTGAGCTGAGCTTTGGTTGTTGAAATAATTTAAAGGAGCTAATACACAATTCACACCTGCTTATAGTTATTAAAGGGAGTTTCAAAAACCTATTTTCAATATAAAGAGATCATTTATTCATGCCTTATCCTCAAACAATAATACCCAAACACTGAAGCAGGAGTCAGTTATATATTTACCTATTGGTGACCAACACAGAACTTTAGTGCTTTCAAGAGTCAGGCCATTTTCATCCTCATTTTAAACAACTAAATAAGACTTCTATTATCAGAAGGAGCAATCCGCTGCTAGGGTCTGCCTGAATTCCAAGCACCTGCTTTCTCAGGTCTGGAGGTAGATGGTACATCATAAAAACAGAAGTCATGGAGAAAATATTCCCTTTAAAACCCTCTAGAAAGTTCTTTTTCCTGAAATCTAATACTATAAATATACATGTTTATGTTAATATCTTAGCCTAGAATTTGGAAACTGATGGAAGGGCATTTAAAAAGTTTCCTTAGCCTGATTTGAATACACATGTTCATACATTTCCATAGGATGGGAAACAGTCTTTACTTTAGCTTATTAGCACATAAGGTAGGTCAGTTTATTTTTGGAATTCCAGCAAGTATACTAAACAGCAGCAGCTGCTGCCCCCTCCCTTCACTATTACTGCAAACTGCACCTCTATTAAATGATCTTATAGTAACTAAGACACTGCTCATGGGTGTCTAAGTTAGCTCGGGGTGCTATAACAAAATGCCATAGACTGGGTGGCTTAAACAACAGGAATTTATATCTCACAGTTCTGGAGGTTGGGAAGTCCAAGATCAAACTGCTGGCTGACAGAGTTCCCCTGTGAGGTCGTCTTCCTGGCTTGTAGACAGCTGCCTTCTCACTGTGTCCTCACACAGTAGGCTCTGGTCTTTCCTCCTCTTCTTACTAGAACACTAATCCCATCACTGGGACCCCACACTCCTGATCTCATCTAAACCTAATGGCCTCCAAAAGGCCACGCCTCCAAATAGCATCACATGGGGGCTAGGGCTTCAATATATGAGGTTTGGAGTGACACAAACATACAGGCTGTAACAATGGAATAACCTCGTTTATATGTATTTGTAGTACCTGTATAGATGATCTAGACTTTAATAAATAGGCTACATAATATGCTTTTCTGTAGTAATTATGTAGGGCGGTGCGTCTCAGACTTTAGGGGCATCAGAATCCCCTACAGCTCATTACAGCATCTTGGAGACCCCCAGAGATGCTGATTTATTTGGCCTGAGGTGGAACACAGGTGATGCTGTCTGCCTGAGGGCCACAGTTTGAGAACCACTGATGTAGGAGTTCCTTTTGTTTTTGTTGTTGTTTCTAAAACTATTATTTTTATAGAGGCACATACAGTAAAATGCACACATCTTAGCATATAGCCTGATGAATTTTGACATGTGTATATATTCATATAACCATCACCCAGATTAAGATATCAAACATTCTCACTAATTTTTTCCCCCTTCACCTATTTGACCCGTCCTTCCACTCTCCTCCCTTATGGCCACCATCAGTTTGTTCTCTTTGTCTATGAGTCTATTTCTGTTTTGTTTCTATTTTTTCAGATTCCACATTCAAGTGAGATCATAAGGTATTTGCCTTTCTCTGTCTGACTTATTTCATTTAGCATAATACCCTCTGGGTCCATCCATGTTGTCTCAAATAGCAAGATTTCAATTTTTATGGCTGAGTAATATTCCATTTTATATACACACACACACCACTTCTTTATCCATTCATCTATTGATAAACATTTAAGTTGCTTCCATATCTTGGCTATAATGCTGCAGTAAACATAGGGGTGCACATATCTTTTTGAATTAGTGATTTTGTTTTCCTTGGGTAAATACTCAGAAGTGAAATTACCAGGTCATAAGGCATTTCTGTTTTTAATTTTTTGAGGAATCGCCATCTGTTTTCCATAGTGGTTGCACCAATTTACATTTTCACCAACAGTGCATGAAGGCACCATTTTTCCCACATCCTTGCCAAAACTTGTTATTTCTTGTCTTGTTGATATTAGCCACTTTGACTTGTGTGAGGTGTTACATCATTGTGGTTTTGAGGTCCCTTTGGATACTAATATCAGTCCTGATTTTAGCTTTTGAGCCTCTACTGGCTTCTCAGTAAATACCATTTTATGTTGAATGCATTTAGAACGTGTCATTTGCTATACCTAGATGTTATGCTATATACAAAGGTGCTTAATAAGCAGGTGGACAGATCTGCTAAGGTGAAGCTGCTTGGTCTGTGAGCACCCAGGGAGAGTCAATTAATGCCGTATGTCGGTCAGCTAATGTGTGACTTCCCAAGTCACCAGGATATACAAGAATGGCTGCTGACATCTTATCTTTACTAATTTTTATCTTAGAATTTAGATTTAGTCTTTATAGTTCCTGGAGTCTGCTCTCTTACAAGCACAGTGCAATAGTTTAAACTAATACCAGATTTTTACTAAATCTTAGTATGAAGCACTTGAGCAATGCTTAGTACTTACATTCAACTCATTTATCCTGTAATCACACTTGGCTAAATTTTAAAGCATAACGCTGTCACAGAACAGCATCATCATTTTAAGGTTTACTTCAAGTACTCTTTGGAATGTAAACATACCTTATTTAGCTTCACAAAGTATTCCAATCCAGCTTCCAAGGGATTTGTATCACAGTTCATCTGAAAGGGAAACACACATTTAAAAATCTAGATGAGTGCAAATCATTTCAGTAACATCACTTCCACATATTATTTTTTTAGGGAAGGGAACACTTTTTGATTTTGAGTATAGATTCTGAAAAAGGAAAAGCATTGATTGGTCTCTAGTTTTTTATCCAAAACTCAGATGTTATTTGAATAGCAAATTACAAATTAAAATGTAGTTTGTTTCTGGGGCTCTTTTATTATAATTAACATCTGAAGGATACCACCACATGATGTTCCTTCCAGAAACAAAACTTTCATATGTTCTTATGTAATAACTGTACATAATTGGGTTTTGAAAAGTTATCAAGTAATTTACTTAAAATTAGCCAGGAATCTGGATAAGTAGAGGAGAAAGCTGTTGGCAGGAAAGTGGCTTCTATAGAGTCCAGGAAAGGGAAAATGAGAGGTTGAATCTCAATCTTTTCAAATACAGATGAGTAACTACAATATACTTTAAGCTGGAACAAAAGCCACTATTTAGGGCTAGACCTGAAGTTAGGGCTTTTGTTGTTGTTGTTGTTGTTGTTGTTATTATTATTATTAGTCTCTTTCGCTGCAAGAGAACTATTTTAAACTGTGTAAAAAGTAGCCAAACTTTTTAAAAAGACAATATAGCACTCATATAAACGAGATGAGTAATAAAACTTGTTTCACATTATATAAAATCTCATCTCATATTTCCTAATCAATTTAAGCAACTCCAAATTATTGTTTTCTGCCCAAAGTTTCAGAATTTCTCCAGGAAAGAAAATAAAATGAAGCACAGAAGAGTGATTGCTGTAATAACACTAGAGGGCGTGCTAGCACTGCTGGGAAATTAGAGGGACCTTGGATGGAGAAAAGCTCTTAGGAGGTGGTATGAGAAAATAAAAGGCAGAGGGGTGGGTGGAGAAAGGCCTAATTCCCAAAAGCTGCTTCTGCAGCTTCATTCCTTGGGGAGGGTGAGGATGGAGTTGTCCCCTCCCTCCCTGCAGCAGCCTCTTCTAAGGTCCCTGTGGCAGGCTGAGAATCCCTTAATAGAGCACTTCTCTTGCAAAACAGCAATCTGCTCGGGGTCCTTGTTCTTTCAATGGCTCCAGGAGGCTGCTCCCACCTCAAAGCCCACTTGCTTCTGCCCATAATCTAAATGCCCAGGGATCCTGCCTGAGCTTTCAAACTCACCTTACCCTCCAATTAAATTCATTCTATTAAGTGCTAGTCACTTTATAGTCTATCAATACTTGTAAGGTTATAAGATAAAGATTATTTCCATTTTATAGAAAAGTAAACAGAGTCACTGGAAGGTTAAGGCCACATAACTCGTATGAGGTAAAGTTCAAACTCAAGGGACCCCCTACCACCACCACTTTCAAGTACACCTTTTACCACTGTCCCATATCTCACTCTCAGGCCTGAAACCTCAATGTCTTCCAAGCAGTTAGGGATGTGACAAAATTAAGGCATCCAGAGACAGCCTGTCATACAGGAGACAGAATAGTTTGAACCACAGCATGCCACTTCTGTATAACTTCCAGGCCACATTATTTACTATTTCTTAGTGTAGAATAGGTATAATTAGGTACCCCCACTCCCAACGTCTTGCTCAGGAATCACCAATACCATCTTTACGGAGAGTTGAGAAGGTAAATTAAATCATGCATATGAAAATAGTATGTAATTATACAAATAGAAACCCTTAGTTCCCATTATTAATGGTGGAAGTAGGCTTGATCAACACATCCTAGACAAACAACTCTGTTCCTAAGAAAGACACCTCTTGTTGCTATTTATCCAAAAGGCACACAGTAAGAAGAAAATGAGGGTAGGCAACATGACAGAGGAGGAGGAAGCCTTTGAAAGCTGGCCCCGCCCTCAAATCCTGAGGGGTAGGTGATCACAGTTCCACACACAGAAAGAATGCCCAGGGTTCTTGGCCAAGCAGGAGGAATTAAGGCAGAATAAACATTGTGTCATAATTCCACTGGACTTTCAACTGGGAAATTTAAGAGAAAAACCTCTTCCTCTAATTAAAAAAATTAAAAAAAAAAACCTCTAATTAAAAAGAGTTATCTAAAAATACGTAATTTCTCTTTCAGCCAGAGCAAATGTTAATGCAGTTGACACTAGCCCTTCTACAAAAATCAGATACAATAAGCATAAAATTTTAATTAGCATTTCATTTAAAGAGCATTTCAGACCTCTGACCCCCAGGCTCTGAAAGCTTTCTCCAGTCTTAAGGCATTCATGGCATATGTTCCAAAATTGTCAATTCCCTCCTCTTGGCCTGCATTCATGATAACATCATAAAGCGTCGTGGAATCTTCTCGTCTGTGGTACAGCTCCCAACCGAGCTCACCTGAAATAAACCCACAAGTGGCACACTAGAGTAAGATCAATGATTACTAGGTCTAATGTGCATTAGCTGAAATATATAAATAGTGGAGAAATTCCATCTATGCAACATAAACATCGTTGAGATTGAAAAGACTAGTTCATGAAAAAGTTGTAACAAAACGCACTGTAAAGGAGGCTGTAACATCACAGATGCATTCATGCCCAATCCTGTCTTCCATGCAGAGAGTGGTATCTAGGACAGCTCTTCTTATGACACAAAAGACTAATGCAGGAGTTAGTCCTGACCCTTGGCCTCAGCTTCATAATGTTAAGTGAGTGATTAGCATGGCATAGTTTATCAAGGTAGGGGGTTCAAAGTTTAGATACCTAAACCCCCAATTCTTTGCCCCAAAATAACAAGACTTAAGAATATAGGCAATTAACATTCAAATGATCTTCACTGTGAGATAGCCATAGTATTTAACAACCACCACCTATGTGCACACACGTGCGCACACACACACACACACGTGTGCACGCCACCATCTCCCTACTTGGTCACTTCATTCACCATTAAAGCTGTGGGCAAAAACCAAAGAAAATTAAACCCAATCCAAAGTTAGTTTAGTTTTTATTTTGTGTATGTTTTATTCTAGTCACCATTTTGCCAAGGTTAGATGGAGGAAGGGTGGGGAAAAGGCACAGCAGAAGCCCAAGGAAGAACCATGGCCTTCACATATGTTCTCCTTATTCCCCAGTGTTGAGGGCTGGTGGGGTGTTTTACCAGGACACCATCAGAATGTGAGCAACATGGAATTGAATGAATGCCTAGTCACCAAGTAGTCCTTCTGTGAAATGACAAGAGGGTCTAGAAGAAGTCAGATGTGAGCCCAGAGCACGAGTGTTGAACTGAAGAGCAATTCATTATCTCTGCTTCAAATACCTACTATGCACAAAGCCTAGATGCTATATGAAGACTTCCCTTCAAGTCTAGAAGGAAAAACAAATAGTGGTAATGCTTTAAGAGAGGTGCCTGATACAAGATGATCTCTATGGGAGATACTATCCAAGGGAGAACATTCTGAACATTCCCAGATAGCCAGCTGGACTGAATATTCTGTCAACCCTTCCAAACATTCCAACGGCATCCTCCTCCCACTCTTTTATCTTCCCCTCTGAATGGTAGGCATCTATGGGATGGGAACAGCAAATGGAAATCTGTGGAATGACTCTCAGACTAAGAGTAAATAGACAGAATTGTCGTAAGATATGCACAGGAGAAATCTTCCTTCAAAGTTATACCAACAATGTGAATGTGGATTGTGTGTGTGTGTGTGTGTGTGTGTGTGTGTGTGTGTGCATGTGCATGCATATTTCTGGTAGCTTCTTTTAAATTTTAGAGACCTACTCTTAAGTTACTTTCCAATTCTTACCAGTGTACGATATCCTAATTGCAGTGACTGGAATGTTGGAAATCTTTAAAGACTTGGTTTGAAGAAACTTGAAAACATCATCCTGAAGATCCTCAGAGGTCAGTTTCTGAAGGACCTTTCTTGCATGTGGTCCTGCAACTCCAAGGACTCCAAGCTCATCAGTTATGTTTTTAATTTGAACATCATACCCACCTTTGACTGCCTCTTCTTCAATCCATCTGCATTTGAGTCATAAACATTGTGTTAAATCTTGCTTGAATAATGTATATTGGTAACATATTTCTCTGAAGACATTTTCTTGTCTAGAATTACCTGAAAGTCCCCAGAGTGTCATTTCATATAATAACCTAATTTTTAAAGTTGCGGAAACTGAGTCCCAGAGATGTTAAGTGGTTTTCCTTAAACAACCACTTATAAGTTTGGGGGTAATTTTTCACAGCAAAAGGATCCTTTGATTTAAATGAGGTATGCAACACAATTCTTTTAAATAGTGACAGCCCTGTTGCATTTAAACTAATGATTCAATCTTCCAAAATTAATTTCAACTCAAATTTTCTCTAATACCTGTGTACAGGAGGCACATTTGTACAGCTAAAGGTTAATAATGTGCCTGCCACCAAACACATAACTGCTTTGACAATTACAAGGAAAAGATAAAAATTCTGAAATAGTTTTAATTTCCAATTCTTGATGAGTTATTGGAACCCAGTTATAGTGTTTGTTTATAATTTATTGAGCAGTCCCTGGAGCTATACAAGTCTATCATTAAAATGATCATCTGGTTTTACACAAATCTAAGCTACAAAGATGGCTCCCAATATATCCTGGATTAAAAGGATATAATCTGCATCAATTTACAACTAGAGTGATTGTCTGTCAGAGTAAGACATTTACTAAACAATAATATTCCAAACATTTTTGGAATACTAAAGACTACAGGTTTTTTAGTAGACTAAATAGTAGACTAAAGGTTTATGTGAAACATCAACTTGGCAGGTAAACAATTTAGATCCAGCTGTGGGCCAGAGAGCACAAAGCATGATAATAGGGGAAGATAACCCAGGGAGACAGTTTACGGAAGTGAATTGAATGTGGGCATCAGAATCAAAAGGACAGGCTTGAGCAAGTTACGAAACCCAAACTTCAGATTCCTCCTCTGAAAATGGGAATGATGTATACCTTTGCAGATATATCTATTAAAAGAATTAATTGAAATAATGTGTAAAAAGAGTTCTGACACATTGATAATGCCTAATAAATTTGAGTTAATATTATTAGAACCAGTAAGCCCTCTGGATGGATTACCATTTGGAGGGGATTGGGGTTAAGGTCTCCCACTTCAGATGATTTCTTATAAAAGACATGAAGTTCATTTGAAACAGTAAGGTTTAAGAATTGAAGTTGTACTTTAAACTTGAAGAAAATCTCAGTGCAAGGTAGAGTCAATACATAATCCATATAGTTTTCTTACCGGGTGTGCACTTACCTAAGGTCATGAAGTTCTGATCCAGAACCAGTTATTAATAGAAACTCCCCAGGACACTGGTGAGAAACAGTCAACTCAGCATACACTCGACCTTTTGGTGTTAACATGTGACTTATATTTGTAAAACCCACCTACACAAAAGAATTTAAAATTACCTAGGGATGAAATAAAAATCTTATGTGTCCTTTTAACACAACATGGAAACAAAAATGTGGATGTCAACAATGGAAAAAAACAACTGAATCTTATTTATTATCAATTGTGTGGACTACCTATAAATTTAAACCCAAGATTAACTTTGAAGTTCCTAGTTTAAGTGATCATTACAATTATTTGTCATAAAAATTACACTTCAGTCAATTTTGCACTTTCTATTGACACAATTAACCAAAGTCATAAGATCCCTGGATAATTCATTCAACAAAAATTTTAATTTGAAAATTAGTATGAATACTCTTGGTCAGTTGAAGAGTTCCATGTTCATACAGACATCACTGGGTGGACTAAAATATCATTTTTTCTTTTCTTTTAAATGAGAAGATAGGTAAGCAGGCCTGAATCCTGGACCTTGTACCCATACAAGGTTATTTACCTTTGGAATGACATTTGCAAAGAGATGGTCCAACAATCTAATGGAGTCTTGGCCTTTGATGTTAAACTTGCCAAATGGTGACAGGTCAATCACCCCTACTCTTTGCATAACCTGTTTATACTCAGAGCCCACAGGCTCAAACCAGTTTGTGCGATGAAAACTTGGCCTGAAATAAATAATGTTTTTGTCATAAAACAACTGTCATTCGTTACTGAATATGGATATTGTAATAAGTTTATTCATCTAGAAAGCTCCTTTAGGAAAAAAAATGCAACCTAAAATTCTGTTCAGCAAATCATATATATATGTTGAAATCTGATTTTTTAAGGTTATTCAACCATCCCTTTGACCTATTTCCTAGTGAATGAAGTATTAATTAATTAAAAAATAAGATAGGCCATGTGGACTGTCAGATCTGGAAGAGAACTTAGAAGTCAAGTCACCCATCCTGTGGTTTTCAATCTTGGTTGCATATTAGAATAAAATGCTTGGGAGCATTTTTAAAATACCAGTTTTTTAACCTAATTAAACCAGAATATATGGGGGTGGAGCCATCTTCTCCACTGCTTCTCAAACATGCATTCAAATACAAATCACTTATACTTGTGATGTAGCAGGCCTGGGTGGTGCCCTATATTCTGCATTCTAACAGGCTTCCAGGTGATACTCAAGCTATTGGTCCCACCTGGAGGAACCAAGGACCTGGTCCAACATCTTCATTTTTTAGAGAAAAGGCACAAAGTGATTTCCAAGGCCTTTGCGTTAGTTAATGACAGAGTTTGGCCTGGAAGAGAGATCTTCTGGCTCATTATGCAGGGTCCTTTCCAATTTACAATATGGACTTCTAATATGGTATTTTAACTTCAGAGCAGGATACTAAGTCTTTGAAATGAGTTTTCAGTAGTTTAATTATTAAAATAGTAGAAGAAATGGGCCAGATCCAAATAGCACAAGGTAAAGAATTGATCTGGCATTTATCTAAGTAATTTAGGAAAAAATCAAACCAGTATTTTGCCTCCAGATGATTTAAACTGGGTGGCTACAGAGACCAAATTCATTAGTCAACCTTGCCCTGTATTATACTTTGCACCATTTAGATCTGGTCTTACAGTAAAAATCACAACCTGCTTAAATATGACAAGTCAAAAGCAAAGGTAACTTAATTTCTAGATTTGCTATTTCTCTTGGTTTATCGATTCTTATGAGAAAAAATAAATAATCACTATTAATCCCAAGTACACCTATGGCAACAACTTCAGAGAATTCAGAGAATTGTTTTAGTGATGTGCTTTATGTTTTCACTTAACCTAAAATGCTAAGTAAATGATCTTTTCCCCTCGTGGGGAAAATTAAAGTTCCTATGGCCAGGATCCTCACCTCACCCTAAACTACTTGATGATGTAATTGGCCTACTGCTAGGCTAATGCTCTCACAGCCTGGACAATAAGCTATTATTGACTGAGTCACTTTATGTTCTGGTATAAACCTTTTTACCCCAAGAATGTTCTGTTGTCATTTCTTGGTCTCACTGAATCCATACTGAACTTGCCCAGGGCTGAAACCCTCAGGCAAGACACCCCTAATTTATCAGCAATGCATAATTTGCATGAGTCAGTGCATACACACTAGAAAGGGGTTGTTTTGAGCTATTCCTTGATAAATAGAAAAACCCGTATTTTCATACTATGTGATTTGACCAGGCATCCTAAACCAGAACAAACCTTTAGCAGCCCACTGAGGCAATGTGGGGATCAGAGGGGTTGGGGAAGTTTCTCTGGGCCAAGTGGAAGCTTCACCTGGGCTGGCTGTAGGACTCTCAAAGCCACACGGATCCTAAATATGGGCCAGTGTCATGTGGGATAGACTAATGCCTCCACTGCCAGAAAATGATGTTTATAGGAAAATGCCCCATACTCTTTGGGATAGGGTGGACTGATGGGGTGGGAGGGGGAAATGGCTCTTCTCTGATGTCCCTCCATTTTACCTCTGAACTTTTGTTCTGCAGTCAGAGCCCCCAGGGGTGAAGTCACTCACCTGTACCCAGTGTCCTGACCTGGTTTGTAGAACCAGTGTGGCTGCTCCCAGCCTGCATGGAACCCCATGGAACACTTTGACTCCAGGGTTTTATAAAGTCCACTGACACGCTGAGTTGGCCTCCCGGCAAACCGTTCTTCTTTAGGATAACCAACTGAAAAAGGAAAACCGATACTCTAAATAGCATATCACCAAAACTATAAAATACTTTGAAGGGATCCAGAAAATGAAAAATACAGTACTTAACATTTAGAAGCATATACATGTGTTCAACTTATGTAAAATATGGTAACTAGATTTATTGTGGTGATGGTTTCATAATGTGTATAAATGTTGATCACTGTCGAAACTAATATAATATTGCAGGTCCACCATACTACAGTAAAAATCTTTATGTAAAAAAAACCCCAAAACTGTCATTTATATTGATCATCAAAGGGTAAATATAGATTTAAAACTTAAAATCACTGATATACTCTACACACTAAATATTTGCATTCACATAGGTTCCTTGTAGTTTAGAGGCACAATCATTTTTAGAATTCCTAAGCATTCCCACCACAATGCACAGAATAAAAAGTAACTAAAATCAGTGGCTCTGCAAGTAAATTTTGCACACACTTTGTAGACAACAGTATCTTTGCACTTTACCAATATTGTTGGATCCATATGACTCTCTTGCTTTGGCTTCTGTATACTGAGTTGTTGTCCATTTGCCATAGCGATTGGGATCCAATTCTATCAGATCAAAAGGAGGCTCTCCATGCAGAATCCAGTCACTGAGATATTTCCCTACCCCACCAGCATGGATTATGCCATATCTTTCAAACACAGAGATAAACATCCTGTTACAAACGACTAGGTAATTTATGTTGTTTCCAAATAATGAAACATGTCCAAATATTTTACAGGTCCTCAAAACTGGAGGGTTTTGTGCTCTTTGGAACATAAAACTAATATAATCTGTATAATCATTCTTCAAAGAATACATGTATAAGGCATCCAAATTAAATGTGCCTGATTTGTGAGCTAATTTGCTTGCACAGCTTCAAGAGATGCATAACTATAATATTTTCTACAACTCTTATGTAGTAGAGTCTCACTTCAGGAAAGTAGGAGAAAAGAAGTAGACAGATGTGGCTGGTACCTTATCAGCCCTCTTGAGCTATCATTATCCTGACTGTTGGAACCTTGCAGGAGAAAAATGTACACTGTAGAGTGGCTCGCCATTTTACCATCTCTTCTCAGACTCTAGTTAGTTCAGGTCCCCTTAGGCACAACGTCTCTGGAAGGATCTTGGGCCTACATAATGGATCTTGGGCCATTTTCTTAGAAGCATTCAGGAGAAGAGGTACTCACCCAGACACTTGTGTGGAAGAGGGGGAAAGGAGCATTGGCCTCCGTATTTTGCAACTGATAGGGTGGTTGGTGGGGAGGGTTCGTTTGTTTTCTATTTCTATATGAAGATGTCTTAAAACCAAGGATATGACTGTTGCAAATAATTTGGTATCAGAAAGAGGGATTACAGCTTAACACTGGCCTGTGCAGTTCTACCTACTCACTCTTGTCTAATAAAGGGCTTCACTGTGGGTTTATCAGTGGTTTAAGTCAAGAGAAGCTTCTAGGGAATTGGGTGAGCATGGAGTCATGGGTAGACTAAGAACAGGAGCTACATGAGCATATCTGGAAATCAAGACATGTCAGTACCACAAATAACAGCAACATAACAGCCAAATCATGAGTTGGGAAGACCTTAGCAAAGACTTTTCCCACAAGATACCAGTTTGGCTTTTTCATTAAAATGAAGACCTAAATTTGTTATAAAGATATTTCTCAAGCAGAATAAAAAGCAATGAATACTTCTCTGGCCACAGGTCATCCAAATAACCCACAATCTTACAAAGTTTCAAGAAAGCAAGAAATACATGCTTAAAATGTTTATTCACTTCCCCAGGCCCAATGTATAATATGCAATAGTTGCTCTTTTTGAGAGCTAAATGTCCTCTTTACATGACCTGAAACTGTATACAGCTTCACTGACATTTATTGGATCCTTATCATTTAGTGGGCATTGTTTTCACCAAAGAGGTACCAGCTGATTTATTCTTTAGCAACTCTATTTCACCAGTGAGAACACCAACCTGCACATGCCCACAGGAGTTACATAAAGTCACACAGCAACACAGAGCAGAGTCAAGATATAAACTCAGTTATCTGACGCTCGTGTCTCCTCTGTTATTGGACTTCTTCAATAGTTCTCAATCTTTTTTCAGCCAAGACACACATGACAGGTAGAATTTACATCCTTGACAGACTCCCTGACAGAGAGCCAGGGTGGTGCTGTGGCTTGCTGCAGACTCACTACCACGTCACCATGCTCTTCCCCTTTCAACAGTGCACAGGGGCAAACAAATGGGGCAGGAGATGTTATGTGGAGATAATCCAGAATAAAGTCTAATTTATTTTTTAAAAGTAAATCCTTACAAACTTCACCTTCCTAACCATTAAGAAATTATATGTAAAACACCATATAACTGAGTATTATGAAACATCTATTTTTATACTGAGAGCCCCAGGTTTAGTAGCTAAAAGTATAAAAGCATGGAGTGAGAGAGATCTGGGTATGTTTTTTTGTTCTGCTCCTCCAGCTGTGTGACCTTGGGCAAGTGGTGTAACTATCCTGAGCTTTAATCTTCTAATGTACACACTTTCTTTGTGGTGCTGGTGGAGAAATAATTGACAGGGCATGAAAAGCACACAGTAGGCAAGCAATACACGGTGGCTGTTTGACCCTTATATGACCAGCAGCAGAGTATCCTCATGCCCAGCTGGTAAGATTTCCATGAGGAAGTAACGTGTGAAGTGGGAATGGAAAGGAACTTGATGAGCAAAGTCCTTCTCCTGTCTCCGGCATTCATCTGCAGAACCCACTTCTTTCCAGTGGCCCAGCTGTTAGGCTTTTGGAGTGTTTGTGTCTGCTTTTTACACTAACTCTGTTAAACTGTCAAGTGCTATCTCTTATAACATTCTCCCCTCTTTATATTCGATATTTATAAACTTTTCTAAGCTAGGAAAACTAGATACGATTCAATAGAGTTCATTAAATATTTGGGGGCCCGGTTTGTCACCCAGAAGCATAAAAACGTGTTAGAACTGTGACAAAAGTAAAAACATCTTTGACTGAGGGTAATCTGTGAGTAAAGTAAATGCACACTGGCATATAAGTAGACAGTTTGTAGATTCCCCAAATTATCTGGACTGGCAATACAAGAATAACCAACAACGTTGAAATGCAGATCCCTGGGCCCCTCTCCAGACCACTGAATCAGAATCTATAGGAGTGGTGTCTTAGAATCTGTTTGCTTGTTGGTTTTTCAATTTAGTACATCTTTCAGAGATTCTAGTGACAAATGACAGGAATTTCATAGATAAGATGTAAAGGAGGATGAAACACATGTAAGCATCTACCCACAAAGCTGAGATTCTGCTTTTTTAACATGTCTCTCAGATGATCTGCTGCTCAGCCAGGGATGGTATGGGAACCACTGGCCTCCAGAACCAGGGAATGGATCACTGATATAAGCCAGGAGAGGTAGCCAATGTTAGCATTCTATCATAATACACAAAGAAATATTTTAACAATTTCAACTTTTAGATAACAAGAAGTCTTTTTGGTTCAAAACAAAAATGCCATAGAGAGTGAGGCATGCCCACCCCCAACCTGTCATCTTTGGTATTCAACTCCCAATGTTTGCAACCTGGAAAACTGCCCAGAACAATCAGGGCAGGAGTCTAACATCAGATCAGCCCTATGAAACAGATACATTTCTAATAAGTAACTGGTGTTCTAAAGAAGGCAACTTCCTAATTTCCTTAGCAAGTAGTAATAGGTATTCCATTAAAGTATAAATAATCATGAGGCCAAGGATTCTGTCCGCTTATGGTCAATGATCCACATACTGGTTGACTAAATCAGTACTTCTGTGAATAAGCCAATTTCAGAATTAAAAATAGTAAAATACTTCAGAATAAATTTAGCAAAAAAAGTGCAAATGAGCACCAAATCTATATAATTGTACCTCTTATCTCTCAGTCCCCACTGCTGTTTCTGTAGTTCAGACCTAAGCCTCTACCGTATTAGCAGAACAGCTCCCCAACCAGTCTAGACCTCCGCTCAGACCTCACTGCTGGTTCTCAGCTACAGCCCAGTTCCTAGCAGGGGAACTTGACACAGAGCTGGCAATCATTAAATATTAGTTTAACAAATGGCCATACAAAATGGGGAAGGAAAATAGAATATTAGAATATGTGACATAAGAGTAAAGTGGGTTTGATATTCACCAAATTAATGGGACAAATACTGGAGATGAAACATCAAACAGGTAATGGAATCATAAATAGTAAGCAACCCGAGGAATCATGAAGAAGCAAATCATGTTGTGCAAGCATGAATTATAGTGAAAAATGCATCAGATACTTTATACGTTTGATATTTTTGAATCATCTTTGTCACATTATGTTATGAAAACATGCTTGTAAAACTGGGGCAAATTGACCAATCTGAACATACATAGCATGAAAAGAGACACAAGTAATGGAAATGGCTGGAAATAGGCAAAGAGAAAATTCCAGAAACATTGTCCTCCTGTGTGCTTATCTTTAAAACCTATATAAGTGACTAGGTAAGTTCCTATGGCCAGGATCCTCACCTCACCCTAAACTACTTGATGATGTAATTGGCCTACTGCTAGGCTAATGCTCTCACAGCCTGGACAATAAGCTATTATTGACTGAGTCACTTTATGTTCTGGTATAAACCTTTTTACCCCAAGAATGTTCTGTTGTCATTTCTTGGTCTCACTGAATCCATACTGAACTTGCCCAGGGCTGAAACCCTCAGGCAAGACACCCCTAATTTATCAGCAATGCATAATTTGCATGAGTCAGTGCATACACACTAGAAAGGGGTTGTTTTGAGCTATTCCTTGATAAATAGAAAAACCCGTATTTTCATACTATGTGATTTGACCAGGCATCCTAAACCAGAACAAACCTTTAGCAGCCCACTGAGGCAATGTGGGGATCAGAGGGGTTGGGGAAGTTTCTCTGGGCCAAGTGGAAGCTTCACCTGGGCTGGCTGTAGGACTCTCAAAGCCACACGGATCCTAAATATGGGCCAGTGTCATGTGGGATAGACTAATGCCTCCACTGCCAGAAAATGATGTTTATAGGAAAATGCCCCATACTCTTTGGGATAGGGTGGACTGATGGGGTGGGAGGGGGAAATGGCTCTTCTCTGATGTCCCTCCATTTTACCTCTGAACTTTTGTTCTGCAGTCAGAGCCCCCAGGGGTGAAGTCACTCACCTGTACCCAGTGTCCTGACCTGGTTTGTAGAACCAGTGTGGCTGCTCCCAGCCTGCATGGAACCCCATGGAACACTTTGACTCCAGGGTTTTATAAAGTCCACTGACACGCTGAGTTGGCCTCCCGGCAAACCGTTCTTCTTTAGGATAACCAACTGAAAAAGGAAAACCGATACTCTAAATAGCATATCACCAAAACTATAAAATACTTTGAAGGGATCCAGAAAATGAAAAATACAGTACTTAACATTTAGAAGCATATACATGTGTTCAACTTATGTAAAATATGGTAACTAGATTTATTGTGGTGATGGTTTCATAATGTGTATAAATGTTGATCACTGTCGAAACTAATATAATATTGCAGGTCCACCATACTACAGTAAAAATCTTTATGTAAAAAAAACCCCAAAACTGTCATTTATATTGATCATCAAAGGGTAAATATAGATTTAAAACTTAAAATCACTGATATACTCTACACACTAAATATTTGCATTCACATAGGTTCCTTGTAGTTTAGAGGCACAATCATTTTTAGAATTCCTAAGCATTCCCACCACAATGCACAGAATAAAAAGTAACTAAAATCAGTGGCTCTGCAAGTAAATTTTGCACACACTTTGTAGACAACAGTATCTTTGCACTTTACCAATATTGTTGGATCCATATGACTCTCTTGCTTTGGCTTCTGTATACTGAGTTGTTGTCCATTTGCCATAGCGATTGGGATCCAATTCTATCAGATCAAAAGGAGGCTCTCCATGCAGAATCCAGTCACTGAGATATTTCCCTACCCCACCAGCATGGATTATGCCATATCTTTCAAACACAGAGATAAACATCCTGTTACAAACGACTAGGTAATTTATGTTGTTTCCAAATAATGAAACATGTCCAAATATTTTACAGGTCCTCAAAACTGGAGGGTTTTGTGCTCTTTGGAACATAAAACTAATATAATCTGTATAATCATTCTTCAAAGAATACATGTATAAGGCATCCAAATTAAATGTGCCTGATTTGTGAGCTAATTTGCTTGCACAGCTTCAAGAGATGCATAACTATAATATTTTCTACAACTCTTATGTAGTAGAGTCTCACTTCAGGAAAGTAGGAGAAAAGAAGTAGACAGATGTGGCTGGTACCTTATCAGCCCTCTTGAGCTATCATTATCCTGACTGTTGGAACCTTGCAGGAGAAAAATGTACACTGTAGAGTGGCTCGCCATTTTACCATCTCTTCTCAGACTCTAGTTAGTTCAGGTCCCCTTAGGCACAACGTCTCTGGAAGGATCTTGGGCCTACATAATGGATCTTGGGCCATTTTCTTAGAAGCATTCAGGAGAAGAGGTACTCACCCAGACACTTGTGTGGAAGAGGGGGAAAGGAGCATTGGCCTCCGTATTTTGCAACTGATAGGGTGGTTGGTGGGGAGGGTTCGTTTGTTTTCTATTTCTATATGAAGATGTCTTAAAACCAAGGATATGACTGTTGCAAATAATTTGGTATCAGAAAGAGGGATTACAGCTTAACACTGGCCTGTGCAGTTCTACCTACTCACTCTTGTCTAATAAAGGGCTTCACTGTGGGTTTATCAGTGGTTTAAGTCAAGAGAAGCTTCTAGGGAATTGGGTGAGCATGGAGTCATGGGTAGACTAAGAACAGGAGCTACATGAGCATATCTGGAAATCAAGACATGTCAGTACCACAAATAACAGCAACATAACAGCCAAATCATGAGTTGGGAAGACCTTAGCAAAGACTTTTCCCACAAGATACCAGTTTGGCTTTTTCATTAAAATGAAGACCTAAATTTGTTATAAAGATATTTCTCAAGCAGAATAAAAAGCAATGAATACTTCTCTGGCCACAGGTCATCCAAATAACCCACAATCTTACAAAGTTTCAAGAAAGCAAGAAATACATGCTTAAAATGTTTATTCACTTCCCCAGGCCCAATGTATAATATGCAATAGTTGCTCTTTTTGAGAGCTAAATGTCCTCTTTACATGACCTGAAACTGTATACAGCTTCACTGACATTTATTGGATCCTTATCATTTAGTGGGCATTGTTTTCACCAAAGAGGTACCAGCTGATTTATTCTTTAGCAACTCTATTTCACCAGTGAGAACACCAACCTGCACATGCCCACAGGAGTTACATAAAGTCACACAGCAACACAGAGCAGAGTCAAGATATAAACTCAGTTATCTGACGCTCGTGTCTCCTCTGTTATTGGACTTCTTCAATAGTTCTCAATCTTTTTTCAGCCAAGACACACATGACAGGTAGAATTTACATCCTTGACAGACTCCCTGACAGAGAGCCAGGGTGGTGCTGTGGCTTGCTGCAGACTCACTACCACGTCACCATGCTCTTCCCCTTTCAACAGTGCACAGGGGCAAACAAATGGGGCAGGAGATGTTATGTGGAGATAATCCAGAATAAAGTCTAATTTATTTTTTAAAAGTAAATCCTTACAAACTTCACCTTCCTAACCATTAAGAAATTATATGTAAAACACCATATAACTGAGTATTATGAAACATCTATTTTTATACTGAGAGCCCCAGGTTTAGTAGCTAAAAGTATAAAAGCATGGAGTGAGAGAGATCTGGGTATGTTTTTTTGTTCTGCTCCTCCAGCTGTGTGACCTTGGGCAAGTGGTGTAACTATCCTGAGCTTTAATCTTCTAATGTACACACTTTCTTTGTGGTGCTGGTGGAGAAATAATTGACAGGGCATGAAAAGCACACAGTAGGCAAGCAATACACGGTGGCTGTTTGACCCTTATATGACCAGCAGCAGAGTATCCTCATGCCCAGCTGGTAAGATTTCCATGAGGAAGTAACGTGTGAAGTGGGAATGGAAAGGAACTTGATGAGCAAAGTCCTTCTCCTGTCTCCGGCATTCATCTGCAGAACCCACTTCTTTCCAGTGGCCCAGCTGTTAGGCTTTTGGAGTGTTTGTGTCTGCTTTTTACACTAACTCTGTTAAACTGTCAAGTGCTATCTCTTATAACATTCTCCCCTCTTTATATTCGATATTTATAAACTTTTCTAAGCTAGGAAAACTAGATACGATTCAATAGAGTTCATTAAATATTTGGGGGCCCGGTTTGTCACCCAGAAGCATAAAAACGTGTTAGAACTGTGACAAAAGTAAAAACATCTTTGACTGAGGGTAATCTGTGAGTAAAGTAAATGCACACTGGCATATAAGTAGACAGTTTGTAGATTCCCCAAATTATCTGGACTGGCAATACAAGAATAACCAACAACGTTGAAATGCAGATCCCTGGGCCCCTCTCCAGACCACTGAATCAGAATCTATAGGAGTGGTGTCTTAGAATCTGTTTGCTTGTTGGTTTTTCAATTTAGTACATCTTTCAGAGATTCTAGTGACAAATGACAGGAATTTCATAGATAAGATGTAAAGGAGGATGAAACACATGTAAGCATCTACCCACAAAGCTGAGATTCTGCTTTTTTAACATGTCTCTCAGATGATCTGCTGCTCAGCCAGGGATGGTATGGGAACCACTGGCCTCCAGAACCAGGGAATGGATCACTGATATAAGCCAGGAGAGGTAGCCAATGTTAGCATTCTATCATAATACACAAAGAAATATTTTAACAATTTCAACTTTTAGATAACAAGAAGTCTTTTTGGTTCAAAACAAAAATGCCATAGAGAGTGAGGCATGCCCACCCCCAACCTGTCATCTTTGGTATTCAACTCCCAATGTTTGCAACCTGGAAAACTGCCCAGAACAATCAGGGCAGGAGTCTAACATCAGATCAGCCCTATGAAACAGATACATTTCTAATAAGTAACTGGTGTTCTAAAGAAGGCAACTTCCTAATTTCCTTAGCAAGTAGTAATAGGTATTCCATTAAAGTATAAATAATCATGAGGCCAAGGATTCTGTCCGCTTATGGTCAATGATCCACATACTGGTTGACTAAATCAGTACTTCTGTGAATAAGCCAATTTCAGAATTAAAAATAGTAAAATACTTCAGAATAAATTTAGCAAAAAAAGTGCAAATGAGCACCAAATCTATATAATTGTACCTCTTATCTCTCAGTCCCCACTGCTGTTTCTGTAGTTCAGACCTAAGCCTCTACCGTATTAGCAGAACAGCTCCCCAACCAGTCTAGACCTCCGCTCAGACCTCACTGCTGGTTCTCAGCTACAGCCCAGTTCCTAGCAGGGGAACTTGACACAGAGCTGGCAATCATTAAATATTAGTTTAACAAATGGCCATACAAAATGGGGAAGGAAAATAGAATATTAGAATATGTGACATAAGAGTAAAGTGGGTTTGATATTCACCAAATTAATGGGACAAATACTGGAGATGAAACATCAAACAGGTAATGGAATCATAAATAGTAAGCAACCCGAGGAATCATGAAGAAGCAAATCATGTTGTGCAAGCATGAATTATAGTGAAAAATGCATCAGATACTTTATACGTTTGATATTTTTGAATCATCTTTGTCACATTATGTTATGAAAACATGCTTGTAAAACTGGGGCAAATTGACCAATCTGAACATACATAGCATGAAAAGAGACACAAGTAATGGAAATGGCTGGAAATAGGCAAAGAGAAAATTCCAGAAACATTGTCCTCCTGTGTGCTTATCTTTAAAACCTATATAAGTGACTAGGCCATTATATAGTCAGGAGCTTCAGACTGAAATTCTTTGTTCTTCACATTACACTGGTCATGACAGGGAGAAAATTCTCTGCCCCAACCCCATTTCCCATTTTTGGCCTGAGATTATGGGACAAAAGTTATCTAAAATACACAGCTCTTTAATAAATACTGAATTACATGGAGATACTCACCCAAAGCCTATAGCCACCCAGTAGTTTCTGACTCCCTGGTGGGGCCCCACCATGGGTAGAATGTCAGGAGAATAGGTGATAGGACCGTTGACAATATTGATGATGTCAGCCTTTTTCAAGACTGGAACCATTTCCATGGCAGCTTCCACATGTTCCATGATTCGGTCTAGATCAGACTCAAAGAGCTCCTTTCCAAAACCTGAGGAGACATGCCCCTGTGGTCAGGATGCCCACCACTGACAAATCCTCTCAAGTGGTTCAAGTCTTAATCATCTTACATTTCAAGTTGGCCTGTTAGGATGGTACTTCCTTATTTTTTTAAGCTAAACTTGATATTCACTATCAACAAATGGGTACACATGATATTACTGAGAATAATAATGTTATTTTTTTAAACAATAAAATCATTAAAGTTAACCTTTTTAATTAATACAAAATGTAAATCTATGCATATTAATAGTTTCCAATATTTAATCCAAATCATAATTAAAAAAAACAATTTGGTGCATCAAGAGAGATCTTTTATCCTTCAATTAACCATAAAAGTCTGCTTCATCTTCCCAGGTGAGGGCCACTGGGAGTTTACAAAGCCATGTCAGGATACTAGGGCTAAGTGGAAAGCTACTCTAGGATCTGGGATGATGGATTCTAGACCCTTTTAACTCTCAGCAGGGAAGGAATGGCATGGAGGCGCCTTCCTCAAGCTTGTTCCCACACCCATCTGAGCGCTGGAATTCCGTGAAAAGAGTCAGGGTCTTGGAGTACAATCACCTTCTCAGTCCCAAAAAGCACTGAGATTGAAAGTAGGGCCACAGATGAGCTTCTAAAAAAAGTCTCCACCAAAACGTGTGATTTCCTCATGCAGCAGCTAGCCGGCTTCCTGTTCCTCCTGTGGACTGTGTGCCAGGTCAGCCGCATGTTGGCTTGCAGACCACCAGGGCTGGACCAGGACATGAAGGCACCCAGAGCCAGCTAACAATCTGGCTCTCTCTCCAACTTAAATTATTTAAATATTTGTTCAGCACTTATTTGGAGGAGAGGCTGCCAACTTGGTGAAAGATCAGAGAGGGAGGCTCTCAGTTAGAGGATCAGCCCTCCCTCTGAGACTGGAAGCTATTCTGCTCATCATACTCAATGTGCAGAGCCCACTCAGCAAGACTAAAGTTCTCAGCTAGCTGGCCCAGCATCTGTGGGAGGCAGTTTAGTGATCACTTGTTAGACGGAAATAGGTGGTCTTTGAGAAGTGAGAGGGAGGGATTCATTCCTTCCCCAAGTAATCAAAGTTATAGTTTTATAAAGTACAGTTCCCTCCATTTCTTTAGATTCCCTATAACATTTCAGTGCTCCAATGAAATTTTAGCTCCTTTTCTAGATTGTTCTAATTGTTGGTCTCCTTAGGTGAAAATGAAAAACAAAAACAGGTCCATTTCCCTTGCAGAACTTGACAGAGAAACTATAGCAACACCTGCTTTAGCATAGAGGGCTGGGCCTTTTCCACATCCACTTAAGTAGTAGCAGAGGGCTTCAGTTTGCAGAAACAACCTATCCTGCTCAGTCATAGACTCCAAGGATTTCATTCTTAACAGGTTGGATATCCTGTCTCTGATACCTGTTGTGTTTCCAACTGGCATAGCACAACAGCAGCCATATCCAAATCTGGGAACTAGACCAAGTAGGTGGGGTAGTAAGGAGAAAGGGGGAGGCAGGAGGTTGGTATGAGCTGGTAAAAATTACCTGGAGCCTTCCAAAGCAGCAGGGAACATGTTTCTTCACCTTCTACACTAACTGCCTCTTGTCTTTTTCCTTACTTTCTGCTGTGACTGTTCAAAGCGATAAGAGAAGAGAGCTTATCTCAAGCCTCTCACCACCAACATCTCAGTATTCAATAGTCTAGTATTATGGTGCCATCTTATTACACAGCTAGACCCAGTCATAAAGAGGGTAAAACATGCATGTGTGACCTGAACATACATCCATTTGTTGAACCCACCTAGAGGGACTCCATTGGCAACCCATGAGTCCTGAACTTTCATTTTCTCCTGACTTTCATATGGACCAAACAAAAGCCCATCTCTTTCCTGTCGGAGATAATAAGATCCTTCCAGATCACGGAGCACAGGGAGTTCTCGTTTCAAAGCTTTTACTTCAGGTATAGTTGATGTAACAACATATTGATGCTGAACTGGAATGAGAGGATGCTCTAGTCCAATCATCTTACCTACTTCACGAGCCCAAAATCCTTAAAAAAAAATCATTTAAAAGTGTCATTGCAAATATAAACGTACCACATCTGACATTGATATAGCAATTTATATTAAAATATTTAGAAGACTTCAGTACTCATGGCAAAGTCTAGAGAATGTCACAATTCTAAATTTTTTGTCATTGTACAATTGAATGGGGAAAGAAGAGACAATATTGTCCCAGCATTTTGAAGATGTCTAAAGAACTCTGTTCCTGAGAAAGCATTTTTCCCATAAGCAAAGGTGGACAAGAAAAAACAACAAAAAAGTTATTGAAGGAAGAAATATAAACAACCCAAATGTAAAAACGTATACATGTTGATAAGAAATACAGTCATTGACTGACCCCACTGTAGAACAAGGATGATCAGGCAATGGAAGTGGGTCCCATGTTGATGTAACCAACATAATACATAATAATCATGCATAATAAACCCTTACAAGTCAGTCCCTCCATCCCCAACCCCACCTCTCTCCAGATTGTTGATGCCTAAACAAATACAGATATGTTCTGTTAACTTAAAATATGAAAATGTATATACTTCGGGAGAGATCAAACATTTTTATCTGTTATTTTGAGAGTTTAATTTGAATACGTTTGTAAAGCCTTTCTTGCAAAGGGCAGGAAGGCACTAAGAGTCCAGTGCTGGAGGGGAGAGGAGCTCAGCAAAATGAGGGCTCAGAACCAAGTGGGGTTCTCAGAACCAATGCTTTTCACTTTACAGTGTGCATGGGGACTTTCTTCCCGGTGGAAGTGAATACTGTTTTTACCTTTGCAAAAGATGGAACCAGAAAAGTAGTGGCTGAAAGGACTCTTGATTCTCCCCAAGGTGATTTTTTCAAAATTTAGATAAAGCTAAGCTCCATCCAGAGAGGGAAAGAAATGTGCCCAGGCTCACACTGGGAGACCCTGGAATCATCATATCTTACTGGTTTTCTTGCTGTAATCATTCAAGTGATAACAGAATCTTATTTAAGTTATTTCTTTGAAGGTTGCATTCTCTAAATTTTTAACTATTTGTGTTTTTGCTTTTTTTCAGAATCTAATGAGGAAGTCTCTGTCACCATGAAGTTCAGAGCTAGAAACAGAATTATTAATTATGAGTCGGTCAAGGAACCCAGATTATGTACTCTTATGTGCCAAAGTGTATTTCTATTTAGCTATCTAAACATCACCGTTGTGTTCATACTTGCATAATAGCCCCACAAATTGGTACCAATTTGCAAACCAAAAATCTTAACCTTTGGGCATTAGAACTGCTTGTTCATCTTTTAATAATTCAGAGATTTTATTTATTCTTCCTAATAGGGTGATATGAATTACTGACATAAGGACTTTGTGGGAAAATATAGTAAAGCCATGTATTCCAGTTATATGTACTAGGGCAGATTTAAAATATAAAAAGCTAAAATATTTAACTAGCAATCAAATCACTGCAGTATCCTCAATATACTTGTTTCAATTAAAAACATTAATTGAAGCAAATAAATTCTGTCCTATTCAAACATATTTTGAATTTCTGAGTTCTAATTACTTGCTTATTAGTGCACTTTATCATTAAAATAAAGTGGAAACATATGCTTAAGTATCATATAACTATATTACTTAAAACCCCGTAACAAGCCCAATACTTTCTTACCATGTGGTGGGGATGCTTGCTGGTATTCGCTTCTTCTATATGTCAGTCAAGTTAACCTAAATCATCTGGGATTACACACATCAGCCCCCTCTACATCACCCAACCACCAAGTTCAAAAGGGAAGAGAGAGGCAAATGTGGATATGGTAATAATGTACCATTATTACCTGATAAACAACTGAAGAGAATAGTCAATAAAAATGATTAGAAATGGCTTTCATTTTTTAAAAAATGCAGTTATTAATAGAAATAGAGTTAAAATGAAGGGTAAAAGTTCATGGACAAGTTTACCTGTACTAGAAAGTTTATACAATGACAATGATGGTACAGTGACATTCTCTAATGCAGACTATCAGGCAAAATTAAGCAATTCTTTCTGGCTGAACACTGGGCTTCATGTTGGTATGATCCAATAACATTTCTGATCTACCACATTAGGAAAATTCCTAAGTAAAATTTAAAAAGTTGTATCAGCCTTAATGAGTCAATTGGAAATGAAGTGAAGATAAACATTGATCACCAAGCAGAGAAAAAGCTTGCATCATAATAAATAGCTCCTCCCAATCCCCTAAGCTATACCTGAGGAGACGGCTAGAATGAAGCAGATCTTGAAAGCTTTAGGTACCTAAGGCAAGTTAGACTACTGTAACCAAGAGGTCAGGAGTATCAGAAACTGTTCCTCAGCAATACTCACTCAGTAACAAGGCTACTACTACATTCTCTCTCCTGGAGGAGTACCTATAGAGTAGTGTTTCTCAGGGTGTTTTGCCTACCATCTGGTACAGACAGTACAGTACCTGGAGTACATATTTAAAAACAGCTTGTGAGCCTCTACCCAGAGCACTTGAATTAGAATCTTTTTGAAGTCTGGGAAACTTTCCAAGGTGATTTTTATTCACATTAGCTTGAGAACCAAGCTCTTTGAGAAGAAAGTTTACTAGGAGAATGGGTACTGGACAACCACAGAGCAAGCAAAAGAAGTTCGGTTCTCTTAACACAGGTACCAAGAAGCTATGGTAACCTGATGCTACTGTCTCCCAGACCAGGACTTAGACATTCAAGGAAATAATTATAGTAATAATGATTATTAATTTTTTTAGTGCTCTCTATGTGGTATACCCTGTCTGGGTGCTCTACATTATTAGCTCATTTACTAATTGTAACTTTTTGAGATGGGCACTATTATCTTTATTTCACAAATGAGTAATTTGCCCAGGTCACACAGTTGGTAATACATGTGTCTTTGGGCCAGAAAGCTCCACTGCCCTAGATCGTGCTGGGACACATCAACAGACACATTTTTCCTGTTAGACTTTCTTATTCATGGATATCCTGAAGACTTAGCAGCCTTCTGTTTGACTCCACATAAAGAAACTTCTAGCAAGTTATGGTACAGTTGAGCACCTAATTGTGGCCTTTACATCTTTAAATCTTGGTTGTATTTCTGAGTTTATATCCTGAGCCCATATCCTAATATTTACTTAGATTTCAGAGCTGGCCTGAGGGCCTCACCTGAATTTGTGAGATATCCTGGTCTCACCAAGTACCTTTGGGGTACATTCCATCAGCCACACATCCTCAAATCAGGTTAGCATGATACCTTCTGTGGGTGGTTGCTTTTAGTCATAAAATTAATCTTTGTTAGCTTCAATTCTAGAAGGGGACATATCCAACTTTTGCCCCCAGTTACTGAGGCTTACCTTTTGGGGGCTTCTATACTTTAAGGTTATTTTGAAAACAGACTTACAAATAATCAAACACACTGTCCTCCACACCTTCCATAGACTACTAAAATGCAATCAGATTTCTCCAGTAACTTTTGCTCAATGGAAGAGAAGAAACGGGGAGGAAAATGAAAAAAAATTGTTAGTCAGAGATCTGATCTGAATGAGGTGAAGAATTGAAAGAGACAGGATAATTCTTCATATAATTTTCAACATGGAGTTGCCTGGAGTTGCCAAGAACTGAATATGGGAAAGGGTGTAGATGTGGCTGGGTAAAGGCTTCAGGAGTAAAGGACAAAGAAGGATGTCTGGAGAACAGCTTTTCTGGTACTAGCCTGGGAAAATAAATTCCAGGAATTAAGTGCCCTGGAATAGTAAACACAGGGTTATATTATAAAACTAATTCCAGGGATTTGTTTTTCCCAGGCCAACACCAGAAAAGCTGTTCTCCAGCACCTGCTGCCTTTACCCTCCCCTGCCACGATCACACCACAGATTGTACAGCTGCATAGAAAACTTCATCTGGTAACCAGTGTCCTGAGTTTAGGTCAGATCTCTTTGGGAATTATTCTTTCTCTTCAATGCTTCCTTATTTCTCAGTTTGGGGTTTGAAAAAAATATTTTATTTACATAACTATGTAAATAAAAGTTTATCATTTTAGGAAAATAATAGGTGAATGTGTCTGATTAAGATCTCGACATTATTTCTCAAAATACCAGTGGGAGTGTGTGGCTGTTTGAAGCACAGTGTTGAGAAAAATGGTGGAGTTTGTCCATGCCCATCTGAAATGAGTGCAGTGATCGACTAGTACTGTCTGCCATGGCTGCTGATATGGGCATCTGGAGGATGTTTGTTTAGTATTTTCTTTCACTATGATAACAGTCAAATGTTTATAGGGACTTAATTTATGAGACAATAAAGAAAGTCGCAAGATTACAAAGAATCCTTGGTATGTGGGGAAAAAAGTATGAGTGATTTCATTACCTTAGATCTTCTACAGAATTTAGATCAGTGGTGCCCAAGGACCACTGGAGTGAGGGGTTTCAGATGGGGACTGTGAGGGTAGAGGACAAATGAAGTTCAAAAACAAAGTGATGTTTTATGCCTTTGCTTTTATTTTTTTGGCAAGTCATTTTACATTATTTTGAATTTCAAATGATAATGAAGAAGGCTAGGATTTTTATGCTTTTCAAATGGGAAGTATGGATTAGAAAGATTCAGAAATACTAACTTAACCTCTTAAATATTGAAGACATTTCTTTTTCTAGAACCACTCAAAGTGTTTTGTTAAATAAAGCAACATCAGTCGTAAGTTACAATATAGAGGAAAGAATCTTAAGGGTCTCAGTTTCTGGCATGCCCTCATGGCATATCATTTCATTTGCTCTGATAAATAATAAAGATTGTTTTCATTTTATAATTTAAGCAAGGAGACTCAAAGAGCAGACCACAAGAAAACCAGTTGCTGCCTCATGCTTCTTTCATATTTTATCTAACCATTATGAACTATAGGTAAGTATAAATTATTAACCCAGTTCAGGCCACACAAGTGTCTTCATTTGCAGAAGAATTTAGTTTTTTATGTGCACTAGTTGAAAATGCTTCATGGGCAAATGGCCTATTAGAAAGTATATTAACTGAAGACTCAAAAGACCCAGGTCCAAGTCCTGGCTCTGACATAACTAACTGTGCCACTTTGCCAAGTAACATGACCTTTCTGGACCTTGGTCTCCACAAATGGAGAACGAGTGGGTTGTTAGATTATCTCAAATATCCCTTTTGGCTTCACTACTCTGAGTCTAAATTGTAACACAGCAATCTAAAGAAAAGATTATGAAATATGTTTCATAACATTCTGAAAGGAAAAGGGGTAAAAGTTCTGATGTGTGTCAAGTAATCAAAAAAGGATGAGAGAACACAAATGACTCGATCTGCCCTAAAAAGCAAACTGAGAACAAGGAGGATGCTCATGCATTTGAACACAAGAATGTGGTCATTATAAAGAAAGAGTGAACATGAGAAGGAAAAAAGAAGCAAAATTTGGCAGAACGTGATCTGGAGCAGAAGAAAACAGAGTGGAGAAGAATACCAATTTTCTGTGGATAACCAAGGACAGAGTAGTAACACACACCACGAGCAAAATGTTGGAGGGAGGGCTTTGCAGCTTAGAAAGAAACAAAATGTTCACCTTGGGAGCATCACACTGTTTCGTAACAATGTTCATGGTATATTTACATTACTTTATGGTTAAACATCGTATTTCTCGGTCACTTAAAGAACCCACTAATTAAAAAAAAAAGAGAATGTTTACCTGCAGCATTCACAATTCTATTTGCTCTCATAGATCCCTGTGGTGTTTCAACATCCCATGTGCCATCTGATCTGGATTTCAGAGAAGTCACTGGTGCAGGATATTTTAAAAGTGCACCGTATTTCCTAGCCCCAGCAGCCAGGGCCATAGTGAGAGAGTAAGGATCAATGTGACCATCTCCAGGATTGTACAGTCCAGCTAAAATCTAAATCAATCATAAGAGAGTCAATATTCAAATGAATATATACTAATTATTCAGTGTAACTATATCCTGCTGTCAAATGTTCAGTAAAGCAGGACTTTAAAAGTGCAGCATGGTATCAGATTGATCAGTCTGCATTTCTTTCTTCCTGTATCAAAGCTGAAACTGAGGCAAGACTCACACTGAGAGTTAAGCAGAGTTAGGTTATTTGATAGAGGCTTGCAATCATCTCCAATATCCATTCTCCCTCCCCTATTCAGTCTGACAGCAATGGATATCGAATGTTTATTTAGATACATGGCCACTAAGAACAAAGAATCTCCAATAGTTGGCAGCTATTAGATTCATCTGAAAAGTAGAACTATTACTAAGTTTGGGTTAATGAAATGCAAATGAAAGTGTCACATGGCAGTTTCCATGAACCATTAAAAAAAACTGGCATATGCCCTTTGTCCCTTCTTCTGTGTCCCTTCCTCCAGCCTGCTGTCTGAAGTGCAGACATGATGGCTGGAGCCCTAGCTGCCTAGTGGAATAAGAATACAATAGTTACACCTTAGAAATGACAGAGCAATGATCTCAAAGGTGACTGGTTCCCTGAAGTCTTCATGGAAAAGAGCCACTGTTCAAATCCTAGGCTGCCAAAATGAAAGATAAATAAACTTCTATCTTGTTTAAGCATTAATATTTTGGTTTTGAACATTTGCAGTCAAATCTAATACTAAGTGATTGATTATTTCTATTTAATTATTTAATAAGTTCACATATTAAATACAGATTGTTGTCAAGAAAGTGTATACTTGCTTCAGCCATTCAACAACTAATTATTGAATACCTACTTTATGCTAGGGCTTCAGGCTCTGTACTGTTGGGGAAACACAGAAGAATGAAACTCAGATGAAACAAAATGATAGAGTAGACACTGAGAAGTACTATAGTTAGGTCTCATCCATTCAACAAAAATATATTGAGCACCAAATATGTGCAAGGTGCTTTTGTCAAGTGTTTTTTCTCTATCTATTGAAATGATCATGTGTTTTTTGTTCTTTATTCTGTTAATCCAGTACATTACATTGGTTGATTTTCAGATGTTAAATCAACCCCACATTCCTGAGATAAATTCCAGTTGGACATAATGCATCATCCTTTCTGTATGTTGCTGAATTCAGTTTGCTAGTATATTGTTAAGGATTTTTGCATCAACCCTCATAAAGGACATCAGCCTTTTTTTCCTTGTGATGACTTTGTCTGATTTGGTATCAGGGTAATACTGGCATCATTGAATGAATGGGGAAGTGTTCACTTCTCTTCCATTTTTGGAAGAGTTTGTGAAAGATTAGCATTAACTCTTCTTTAAATGTCTGGTAGAATTTACCAGTGAAGCCATCTTGTACAGGTTTAGTTTGTGGGAAATTTTTTTTTTATATCATTAATCTACAATTATATGAAGGACATTATGTTTACTAGGCTCCCCCTTTCACCAAGTACCCCCCACATACCCCTTCACAGTCACTGTCCATCAGTGTAGTAAGCTGATGCTGTAAAATCACTACTTGTCTTCTCTGTGTTGCACAGCCCTCCCCGTGCCCCCACCACACTATACATGCTAATCGTAATGCCCCCTTTCTTTTTCTCTGCCCTTATCCCTCCCTTCCCACCCATCCTCCCCAGTCCCTTTCCCTTTGTTAATTGTTATTCCATTCTTGGGTTCTGTGATTCTGCTGCTGTTTTGTTCCTTCAGTTTTCCTTTGTTCTTATACTCCACATATGAGTGAAATCATTTGGTACTTGTCTTTCTCTTCCTGGCTTAGTTCACTGAGCATAATACCCTCTAGCTCCATCCATGTTGTTGCAAATGGTAGGATCTGTTTTTTTCTTACAGCTGAGTAATATTCCATTGTGTATATGTATAGTTTGTGGGAAATTTTTAGATACTAATCCCATCTCTTGTTACACGTTTAGTGCAGGAGATTTTTTATTTCAATGGAATTCATATTACTGTAGACTTCCAAACATGACATTGATTTGGCATTCCAAATCTAATTGATTGGGCATCCTGCCCCAGACCCAAAGAACACTCTGCTCACATATCCCCACTGCCTGTTGCCTTGAGAAAAATCCATGATGATGAGGACTTCCAACTGAGCATCCCAAGAGTGACATATAAACAGCTATAAAACATATCCTTACTAGTAGCAGTGATGGTATTTCAATACAAACAATGCAGTGCAACACCAATCTGCTGCCACACTGTTGTCACACAAAACTACAGACCAGGAAGGGCCAGCAGCCTGTAGAGACTCTCAAAGGCAAACCACCCCAGCACCCAGATCAATGATACAAACCCCTGGGGTTTGAAGATACTGCAGAAGTCATTAGGTAGAAACATAAGCCTCTGCTCCCCTGGACAGCCCCACCTGGTACACTCAGGAAGCATGTACAAAAGAGTGAGAGAGCCTGGGTGCAAATCTCTGCTCCAGCTCTTTCTAGCTGGCTGCGCTTGGGCCCACTATGGAACATTATGCTGCAGTTCCGTTTAATATTAATGTATATAATATTAGTGTGAGGATTCAGTGGTCTTATGCATATAAAGGGCTTAGCAAAGCACTTGGTATCGAACATGTGCTGTAGTGTTAGTCACTATTGTTATTCAAATGGGATTATCACCTAGCAAAAAAAAGACATCAAATCCCCAAGTGGATTCTCTCAACCAAATTTGGCTAAAACTGTATCACTACCTAGTATAGAGCTTGTTAGAGAAGTACAGCTATGGGCTCAGGGATATTTGTGTAGCAACATACACAGAACTTCTGAATTTGAATTTGTAAAAAATTTTACTAAGTTTTTTTACACACATATTTATCATACCAGATTATTACTTTCTCTGCAGTTCTCTAACAGAAGGTTTATGTACAGAAACCCTTAGATATGGGGGACTCAGTTATAAGAAGGTATTGAAAATATTTCCTTAGTTGTCAAAAGTAGAAAACTAATAAGATTTTTATTATTTTTTCATATTTCATTTAGCATACTTAATAGCCCACCCTGTAATATACCAAAATTCCAGCATTAACCATCTGACTTTACTGTTAAAATGTGTGTGTAAAATTTTTCTACTTTTAATTGACTTCTTAAAATAACTTTTTCCACTCTTAATTCAAGTCAACAAATGACTTAAGACAAATACCTTATTCATGTTGAGTAAAGGGAATATCTCTTGAATTTTTTCGGGTTCAATAATATACTGTTCCGTTGCATGCCAGCCAGTCCGAGTCATTTGATATTTAAATTCGTCTACTCTTACAGGAGTTGTAGCAATCCTGATACTCCCTGGCTGGTGGAATCCTACTACCTGTGACAATAATGCCAATAAAAACACACACATAAATCATTAGTTGGCCCCCAAACACGGTTCTCCTCCAGCACAGTGAAAATGCAGATGTACAAGAAAAGAGATTGACTCTGCAGTGAAAGACAGAACTACGTGCACAAATTTTCTTAGAACCAAGAGATGTGCCCTGAGCTCAGCCTGACTGGTGGGTGGGGAAAATCAAAGATGGCTTCTCAAAGTGTGTGACTGCAGGGAAGGGTGGAAGGTGGGTGCTGAAGCGGCGGCCAGAGGGAATTTTGTCTCAGGCAGAGAGTCCAGCACATTCCAGAATTATATGTGAGTAAGAATAGTTGAAGCCCATGAGCATAGCAAAGAGTGGCAAGAGAAAGTGGCAGCGCTCAGCTGATGAAGGCCCTCCTCCTTTGGCCTTTGGCCTGTAGACGGTGGGAAGCCCTTGGATGGGTCTAGGCAAGAGGAACAGCATGAACAATTTAAGTAAACTTTAGTCTTAGCCTATGGATGGTCTTTGCTGTCACTTTATTTTGAGAGTACTTATAAATATAAGAAGAAATAAAAATAAAAGTGAGAGTTTTTCATGAAGTACTTTTTCAAAGTGATGTGATAAGCTGGCAGGCTCTGTTCTCAGATCCTTTGCAATCCAGCTGTGACAAGACTCTGATTTTTTAGTTTCTAGATACAATGACTGACCAATAATGTTTTTGAAAGCTGCTTTTTATTCTTCATTTAAAAAAATCAAGAAGAGTGGTTAATTTCCCAGGTAATATGCATCATGAAATTAAATTGATTAGAAAACTAACTCTAGAGATTCTCACCTTAAACTCTCATCAGATTTCTCTACTACTTAAACATTTCACATGCCATTGCTGCTACACACAGCTATACATGACGATATGTCAAAATCCTCCAGAAATCTCACGAATTTCTGAGAAACTAACCTCGAAGATAAGTTAAACACAATTACCTGTCCAGTTTCTTCTTCCAACTTCTCATAAAGTTTGATGCTGTCATAATGTATTTTCTTCAAGTTTATTCCAGGATGAAAGTAAGTTGTTAAACCTGCCTTGAAAGTGGGAAGGAAAGGAAATACTGAAAAATAAATTAACGTTCTCAAAATGTTGATAGTGTATCTATTAAGCAATAATTACTGCTGAAAAGAAACTGAGTGGCACCAGCCAGTCTTTCAGGAGGAGAGCACAGCAAAACCAGTTTGAGCACACCCGAGCATAACGCTCATGGCAGTTGTAAGATTCTCTTTGACCTACTGAAATAACGTGAGAGCCAGCCAACGAATGTATACATTAAGTCCCTAACAGTTACTAGGGAAAAGATTGTTTGCAGGTTCCAAAATGGGATGATTTAGATGAGAATTTTAGGAATATATGCTAGTGGGAAGAGTGTGGGGAGTTGGAACACACCATGGACTCAAACCAGCCAACCATGTGTGTTCAATAAGGGAGAAGGACCATGGACTAGCAAAGAATTTTCCTGGATCCAATCCCTACCATTCTCTTAAATGGAGCAGCCTCCCGTTCCCTTTCCTGAAATTCCCAAACTTTAAGAATTGGAGAATTCCTGAGAATTAGAGTCTGGGTACTGGTGAGCAGAGATTTGTCAAAGTTTAACCTGTTTGATGAGCAGGATTGTATCCCACAAATAGTTGTGGTATAAATACTTTTTAATTACTGTCCGGAAAAAAATATCTACATTGTAGCATGCCAAAATCCCTTTTATCAACTCTGGCAGATGCAATGCAGTATCCAGACAAAAAATTCTAAGCAATTATATGAAGCAGATTCCCCTAATTAAGTGTCTGGGGGCCCCATTTTGCCACTAATTTATCCTGGAAAGCTCATCAGAACACAATCTGTTCAAAATAAAATATGTTCAGGGGTAGTTGTAAGGTTCTTCTCTGGTGATGGGAGGCATTTGGTTCTCCTAAACTCAAAACCACCCCGCTTAAAGTTCATCAATCATTCTTTATGGAAGCATTTGGGCATAGGCACATCTGGGTTTTATTTTTTTGTTTATTGTTTTTAAGTAAAACCCTGGCCCGGCTTTCAGGTTTTCTCATAGCACAAGCCCATCCTGATGGAACTGTAAATTGGGCGCTTTTGCTTTCAAACAGTCCATTCTCCTTTAGATGCTTGTTATCTAGTGTGCATATGAACTTTTCTAGTCCAATAATAAAGAATCCCTGGCCTTCAGGCATCTGCTAGAGAACTCAGTTTTGTTTTCCATGTATCTCCTGTCAGTTGAGAAGATTGTTATTCATGAGCACTGGCCTAGGGTTCTGTTCACCATTCATTCCTCAAGATTCTCCAAGCTTAGCCTGGGTTAAGCCAGAACACCAGAAAGTTATATCTATAGTATATCAATCCTCTTCTTCACCCCAATAAGTTATTTTCATAGAATTATAAGTTAATGATTCTTCACCTGTAAAACTCACATGGGTTCATTTCTATAAAATCATTATTCAAGATATTTAGCTCAGTGTACTTTGTTTAGGAAACAAACTCCTCTAGAAATTCCTGGTCAAGGACAAGTTAGTCACCTTTACTGAAATAGCATATCTATTCCTACTGAACAAATCATATACCCTCACTTCCAGATTTCACAGTCTGATTGAGGTTATGAAACTTTCATATATGAAACAATGAAATCAAGAACATGTTTATAACCTAACATATGACCTAACAACTAAGAGAAGTAAAAGAAGAGAAGATGCAAGGTCACAGAAATCTTCAAGGGGGACAAGGAAAGGACTTGCCTTTGACTGAAGGAAGAAAATGATGATGGTCGATAGAGAAGATAAAAGGGGTAGATGAAACACAGACATGAGTAATCATTAAGAATTAAAATGCTTTCAACAAAATAAGCATTTATGAATCCTTGTTGACATAAATAAATAAGTAAGGAGAAGGGAAAGCTCTTGCTTACAGTAGACCAACAATAAGTATGAAAGGAATGATGGAGTAGAAAATCATCTATGAACACTAGAGATGCTCTCCCTATCTCTTTAGTAATCCTTCCTCCTCTTTCATGAGCTTCTATAGCCTTAAGAAGCCCAGTAAGTGACCTCAAGACATCCTTCACCCCAGTGGCTCTGTGTGGTCACATCCAGAAAAAAAGTTTGAACTATCCCATAAACCTGTATATTTCTTTATTTTCACATGATATATGTATATATAAATATGCAATGCTAATGCTAATGGAGATCATAAAACACACAAAAACAACTCAAAATGCATTAAATAGTTTAAATAATTTTCATTTTACTGACTGTGTTGAAAAGCTTCCAAATTTAAAAATTTATTTACTGTGTAGAAAAGCTTTTGAATATTAAGCTTATTTATTAATATTTCAGTAAGGGATATATGATTAATATACTTTATTACTAAAATACAAATATTGAATTAAAACAGCAATTGGAAGGCTTGATTCTGGGATTCTTTTATTCTGAGACTGGTTTGAATGGCTGTGACAGCAGAAGCAGCCACCTTAGACAAAGATCTAAGTGGGAGAAGGGCACTCTCCTGGCTGTATCCTGCATCTTGGCATCACCACCTTCATCCCAGCACCTCCTACACAGAGGTTTAGGTTGAAATTTCACTATTAATATTTCATGTTCTCTTGCCCATCAGTTATTATTACAAGGTAATTGGAAAGTACTGCATTTTTATATTTTAAGTAAACTGGTATATATCCCATGGAAACTCCTCATGTGGAAAAAAATGTAGGTGGGTTAAAAAAATTTTCTCTTGCATATATGAATTTCTCTAAGTGATATATATCATTTTGGCCAGAAAACCTAATAATGACACCAGCATTTCCAACCATCCCTTTTCAAAATGCTCTCTTCCCAACAGGACTATTTTGCAAAAAAGCAGCTATTTCTTACTGTCACATCATCTTTACTTTGAAAGGATAATATTCATTTTTTTTTGAAATAATACAAATTTCAAAAAGTATTCAAAAATATATTTTGAAAGGACTGTATTCATTTTTTCTATATGTGTCTACTATGTAGAAATGACTGGCCACTATTTGCATCACTACAAAGGTCACCAGGTTTGGGACACTTGGTCTTTTGTAAATGAAAACTTTGTTTCACAACTTTTTTTTTTTTCATGGATGTTCATAACTTTATTCACTCTTAGTCCCAAACAGGAACCAAGCCATGTGTCCATCAACAGGAGAATGGATTTAAAAGTTGTGGTATGTTTTACAATGGAATATGATTTAGCAATAAAACAGAATGAACTATTGACTCACAACATGAATGAATTTCACAAACATGTTAAGTCAAAGAAGCCAGAACACAAAAGAGTACAATTTTATTTATATGAAGTTTAGGAACTGGCAAAACTAATCAAAAGAAAACAGTGGTTGTCTATGGAGAGAGTGAAGAGTGGCTGGAAGAGGATAGAAGGGAATCTGGGATAAGGGAAATATTCTGATTCTTGGTAGTGGTGTTGGTTTTAACAGGTATTAACATTTACTGAAGTTTATTCAATTGTATATAGATTTAGGATCTGTGCATTTTTCTGTACCAGGATTACCAGATAAAATAGGATAACCAGTTAAATTGAACTTTAGATAAGTTTTTTTTTAATACAAGCATATCCCATTCAATATTCGGGACATATTTATACAGTTGACCCTTGAACAACACAGGTTTGAACTGCATGAGTCCATGTATATGTGGATCTTTTTCCAAAGATATATTGGAATTTCTTTCAGAGATATGTGACAATTAGAAAATACAATTTTTCTAGCTTTGTTGTAAGAGTATAGTATACAATATAATTACAAAAATATGTGTTGATTATGTTAGTGTTGAGGCTTCTGGTTAACATGGGCTATTGATAGTTAAGTTTTTGGCAAGTTAAAAGATATACATGAAGTTTTGACTGGGGGTGGGGGTCAGACTGTATTAAAAAATGATTGTTTATTTGAAATGGAAATTTAACTGGGTTCCTTTATTTGCTAAATCTGGCAACCTATTCTGTATGTAATTTAACTTCAATTTAAATAAAATTGTGAAATTAAAAGTGTGTATTATTCATCAGAAAAAGGATGAACATATTGTTTTTGGTCTACTATCATGAAATCCCACTGTTGGTCAATTAAAGTAGAAACACATGAACTTTACATACATTTGCTTATTTAGTAGTTTTTAGCTCTTAGTGCTATTTTACATTATCATACAGTGAAACCACCTACATAGAACAGTTCCATCACTCAAAGAAATTCCCATTATCCCTTAATATTCACCCCTTACCCACCCCATAACCCTTGGTGACCATTGATCTGATCTTTACAGTTTTGTCTTTTTGAGAATATTGTATAAATGGGACTGGCTTCTTTCAACACAATGCCTCTAAGATTCATCCAAGTTATTGCATGTATCAAAAGTTTGTTCCTTTTTATTGCTTAGTGTTCTATTGTATAGAGATACTACAATTTGTCCATTCACTATTTCAGAGAGATTTGAGTTTCTATTTTTTAGCTACTATGTATAGAGTTGTTAAAACAGTCACAAACAGGTTTTATGTAAATATAAGTTATTTCTCTCAAGTGGATACCTAAGAGTGGGATTGCTTAGTCATATACTGTATGTACATTTAATCTTATTAGAAACTGCCAAAATGATGGCAGAATGGCTGTATCATTTTGCATTCTCACTTGCATTGTAAGAGTTCCCATTGCTCTGTATCTTTGTTAGCACTTCATATTGGCAGTATTTTGCATTTTAGCTATTATGATAGGTTTATTGTGGTATCTCCTGGCAGTTCAAAGTCCCATTTCTTTAATGGTTAATGATGTTAAACATCTTTTCACATGATTATTTACCATTTTTATTTCCTATTTAATGAAGCATCTGTTCATGTTTTTTGCCCACTTTTCATTTGGATTGTTTGTTTTCTTATGGTTAAGTTTTGAGCATTCTTTATATAATTTTCTCAGCACAAGCTCTCAGATATGTGATTTGCAAATATTTCCTCCCATTCTACAGCTTATTTGTCCTTTTATTCCCTAAACCATGTCTTTGGCACAGCAAAAGTCTTTTGTTTTGATAAAATCCAGTTTATCAATTTTTCCTTGTGTGTTAATACTTCCAAGAACCCATCATCAAACTGAAGGACATGTAAATTTTATCCTATGGTTTCTTCTAAAATTATTATAGTTTTGAATTTTTATTTAGATCTGTGATACATTTTGGGTTAATTTTTGTATGAAGTGTGAGTGTATGTAAAGGTCCACTTTTTTTCATATATATGTTCCACAACTCTTTTAATTATTGTTATGAGATAACCAACAGAATTCCATGTAGTACTACAACCTCAAGGCATTCTGTCTTCCTTTAATCACAAATTATATCATTTAAAGCCCCATTTCTATAAAATTACTCATAATTTATATGATATCCTATGGCATGACCTGCTATATGTCATGACAGAATGAAGACATCACAGGTGAGAGCTACATAAAGATTAGCAAAACTTAATTTGTGTCTTACATTTTTAGACTAAAAATGATAAAAATGAATAGAAAGTTCTAATACCATCTTCTGACATGCCAAATGGATTGTTTTACATCTTTAGTTCTCAGTCTCCAAGACACCCACTTGGCACCATCCCTGGGGGCACTCTCCTGGGGCCCATGCTCCAAGTCTGCTTCTTGCTCCATCCTCTCCCCTTTCCTTCCATCCCACATGAAATGCTCTGTATTAGGAGCAGCGTCATGAGCTGACAAAGCAGTCTCATTGAAATATAGCAAAACCTCAGGATTTTTGGATTTTTGACTCCATTTTTAACATTCACTTTGCAAGCTCTGCCTTCCTCCCTAAGTACCTGATTCCTGCACTCTACAGACATGTTTCATCTCGAGTATATAAGGCTGCCTTTATTTTTGGAGTCTGCCTCTTCATCTGGCTCCCCAATCTGCCACATTCTCATATCTGCTCCAAATAGTTCTGTGTTAAAAATTCTAATATGTGGGATTTCTTCCGATTGCTCCTCAGAGTGAGGCCTCCTTAACTTGAAAAAAGTCCTAGAATCAGCTTCTTTCCCTTTTTTCTTAGGGAGCCAAATAATCTGGCTTCTGATGCCCTAGTCCATCTTGAGGTCACACTGCATTGATCTCATTTTATAAACCATGACATAATACCTTGTGCATAAGGCAGAATAGTGCCTTTTCCACTCACTCTGATATCTCTTTGCTTTAGAAAAAATTATTTCACACAGTCAATATTTACCAAGAAGCTATCATCTTTGCCTACTTTTTTGAAAAGAACTTGGGTTCAGTGTGTGTTACTTTTTTTTAATTCATGGGACATCTAAGAAGTAGTAATTCATGGAATCCAGTAGTCTACTCTAAAATGTAGGCCACATCCAAACAATCAAATGTAAGTGAGCAGATAATTAAAATATTAAGGTATACACCCTTCTTAACCATCCAAAAGTATTAAAAGGGTATAAGCCTTCTCTCTCAGGATATGTCCACTTGCCTGAATTTCCCTTTCCTACATGCTCTTACCCAGACAGCCCCATGGCCCCTCAATAACTCTGCTCATGTGTCACTTTTGTGAAGTAGTCTCTTGACTCCTCTGCCTCCGTCTTTCTTCATCCCTTTGCCCTGCTTCACTCTTCCTCGTGGCACCACTTGCTCTGGGCATTGCCTGTGTGCTCTCCATCTGCCCCACCATGCTGTGGCTCCATGAGCACAGGGACTTTGTTTTGTTCACTGCTGTGTCCTCACCTCCTGGAACAGTGCTGGCCTGACACAGTGCAGACTCTCAGGAAATATTGAAAGGGTGGCTGAATGTCCATTAGGGAGAGGTTATAGTAGAGGTATAGGAGAAATGAAGGCTTTCTCTCACATGAGAACATGAAGCCTACATAGAGAGTTTAGTTCAGGGAGTGGAGAAGAGACAGGAGTGCTGGGACTTCCCAGTCCCCTCCCTGCAGATAGGAGGAAGCAAGCGGAGGGAGAACTGATGAAACAAGAGGCAAGTGCACCCATGAAGACTCAGAAATTACACTCAGGGAGGACCAGGTGTGTGGGCTGACTCCCAGATGGATGGATGACAGGGCAAGAGGGAGGGGACAGAAAGGAGGGGAGCTGGGCTTGGGGCGGTGTTTCTAAGAACCTCTGTTCAACCAGCAGGTGTGGTCTGACTGTGACCACTTGGGAACCTGGGCAAAAATCTGGGTCATAATCTCCCCCAAACTCAGCTGGAGGCAGGCAGCCCTTTAGTGTATGACCCTCTACCCCCATCCCTTGGGAAGGTCTGGATATCACATGGCTCCTAAAAGAAGTATTCCCCCTTATCTCAGCAGAGGAAATCTAACAATGGAAAGGGACGATGAGCAGCGGTGGGTCACTGCCCAAACTTCCTCCAAAAGAAATCTGTACCAACAGTTATGAGAGCTGTGTCAGTCACTTCATTTACCTGAACAGCTTTCTGTTTAAGACCAATTATTGTGTAGCTCTAGGACAATTATATATATATATCATTAAATATTTGAGATTTACTTGGTGGTATGTTTTATTTAAAACTACATGAAAGCTATGTCACATGTTCTCAGCCCTCATAGTTAGGTCCTCATGAAGGCCAAGCTGTTGTCTCACAGAATTAAAATCATACATAAATAAAAATAAGAGGACCGCTAAACTCAAGTGAAGGGAGTAAGAGGTAAAGGTCTTGGGCCTATATTCAGGATCACCCAGCCAGTGTCCTTCGATACAAAAGCTAACATCTACTAAACATTTACCATGTTTAACAACTTTACATATATTAACTCAGTCTTCATCACAACCCCCTGAGTAGGTAGATACTATTACTATTCCCATTTTACACATCCGGGAATGGAAACGTCATCAACTTCCCAAAAGTCACATGGGTAGAAAATAGCAGACCCAGGATTTCAATCCAAAAGGCACATGTTTGAGATGATGATACACCTCAGATGTTAATTATGCCCTGGAAGTACACCAGTGACATTTACAACTGCATTTGCTAACACTGTTGGGAACCAGCTCACTCTAAAGAGCTGGTGTGCAACTGTGAATGGGAAGGAAGCTGATGGCACTAGTACACGGTTCAGTGCATGTGTCAGTGCTGAGGTGCTTTTCTTACTGCGTGCCAGGTAGATCCAGCAGTGAGCTCAGATTTCTCCAGGAGGACCACATCTTTCATCCCCGCTTTGGCCAGGTGATAAGCCAAACTCACACCAACACAGCCACCTCCAATTACCACTGTTTCTGCTCTGTCTTTCCATCTTGTTTCTGCTGACAAGGGAGGGTTTTCCTCTCTGGAAGAAAAAAAAATTTTTTTAACGGTAGCTTTAGTAGGGTATGGTAGCTATATTTTTTTCTGACTAACGTGCTTCTTCTTGCTTCTCTGGTACTTAACACCTAGTGCACCATTCTATATAATTCTGGTGCAGATAACAAACATAGCTTAATTGAAAGAGTGACTTCTTTTTCTCAAAGACTTTAGAGAATATTTTTTCTTAGTCTATTTAAAGAGCACACTCACACTCATTTTATACCATGAAAAACCATAATCATCATGAAGTTCAGCATCTGTAAATCTTGGATCACTTCTTCCCTTCAGTGTTGCTCAGGCGAAGAGAGAGGGAGTAAAATGCACTTCTTCCCTTAACTTCCTCTCACCGTCTACATGCCTCTCTAATTATCATTATTGCTCAGTGGTTTAACTTATTTCTTTGCACGGCTGTCTTCCTAGCTGGATTGTGAGCTTCTCCAAGACATACTGGAAAAAGGAAGCTGCAAGGCAAATGACATATACACACCTGTGTTTGTTTACACATAGACCGTCTCTGGATATATACAACAGACACTGTTAACACGACGGAGGAATGGGGTGAGGCAGGAGAGGCTCTGCACTGCGACCCCTTTGGTGGTTGCCCTCTGTACATTTGTGCCCCTAACCCGGAGACTGCCTCCGGCCCTCGCTCCCCGCACCCGCAGCCCCGCGCCGCGAGCCTCGGAGCAGGCCCGGCCCCACTCACCTCCGGCGGCCGCAGCCGGAGCGCGGGCGGCCCGGGCAGGCCCGCAGCGGGAGGCTCGGCAGCGGGAGGCCCCGCAGCCGCTGCGCGCCCGGGCGGAGCATGGCGAGGCCGAGCCCTGGGCGCGGGCACCTGCTCCGAGGCCGGCCGACAGCCTGCGGCCGACGCGGGTGGCGGTGGGACCCTCCCCCGGCGAGGGGCGGGCTCCTGGGCCTGCGCGCTCCCCGGACCCGGCGCCCTCACAGCCGCGGCGGGATGGCAGCGGCCCGAGGCCCCGGAGCCCGGAAGGTGAGTTTCCGGGAGCCCGCGAGGCGCTCGGCCCTCCAGGCGGCGGGGCGCCCACCCCAAATCCCACCTCGGCTGAACTCTGCGGCCGCGCCAGGGCACCTGGACGGCCCAGGGCCTCGGTTTCCCCGACGGCGAGTTGCCGGGGATGAGGAGACTGCATTGGTGTGAGGATTAGATAACACTCGGGTGACATTTATTGAGCCCTGAGGCGGTGCCCAGCAGTGCGCAGAGAACTCTACACAAATCATTTCCTCTTTGCAATTATTATCCCGTTTTTACAGTGAGGAGACTGAGGCTCAGAGAGCCAGTCGACCAGCTCGGGGTCACCCCTCCAAGTCCAGGGTGCATCGGCGATTTGAAGTCTGGCTTCGGAGGCAGAGGCTGCGCTCACATTTTCTACCCGCAGGGCTTCGGCTGAGCCGCCCCAGAGCTGCTTCCCTCCTGTTTGGGGAAGGGCGGCAGCGGGCCCTGCGGGCCTCAGGCTGGCCTGAAAGGAGTCCCGGGCGCTCACGCTTCCAGACCCAAGGTGGGGGTCCGGGTGGGGTGCGCGGGAGGCTCTCCGCCTCGCCCCACCGGGCAGCCCGGGTCTCCAGGCTCCTCCTCTCCGTCCCTTTCCCCGATCCGCTCGCCAGCTGTCGGCATTGTCACCCTATTTCTATGCTGGTTATGTACGTGGTGGGAAGAAAGGGTGACAAAACAAAATTAGGAAGGGCGCAAACTTGGATGCAAGATGTCCCCAAGGCCACTCAGAACAAGCCACCTGTGCCCCGTCATTCAGAAGAGAAGGTGAGGAATAAAGGGGCAATATACACAAGGAAATGACTGATATATACTAAAAAGTTAGGAACAACAAGATGCCAACAATGGTAGGTTCCCTGTGTTAAAGTTCATCCACTCAGTAAGTTATTAGGCAAAGTGCTTCAAGTTACAAAAGGAGATGTATCACAGACTGACCCCAACTATGTAAAAACATTTATATACACACTGTAAGGAAGGATAAAGTAATGGCAATAGTTACATAAGATGTGGAATATGGGTTTAAAAACAACAAAAACATGTTTTTGGATATGTTTTTCTGATTATAAAAGTAAAATATGGGCATTGAAGAAAATGAGCTTAATAAAAAGATAAGCAAAGAACATTGTGCTGCTTTCCCTAAACTTTCTGTAATACTATGTTTCACTTTTATTTACAGATCTTGTTATTTCTTAAGTTTTTAAAAATATGCTATCCATCATATAATACGCATCAAAAATATGCAATCTATCATATAATCCATGTTAGTGGGAAGCTAATCTCACCTCTTTTGTTAGCTAACAGGTACATTTCAAGAATTCATTTAATTGCCACAGGCCACACTTCCACTTGCTTCGTTAATTTCAAAGAACAGTCCTGGTGGCATTTAAGGCAGAGGGGAAGATATTTTAGGCAGACTGGATCTCTGGCAGCCTCCTGCCACAGGGTAAAGTTGGTCTGCTCCTCTGTGTATGAATAGTAGTGGCCACATCTTGAATCCAGAGATCTAGATGCTGTTATCTGCAAAAGGGGGGAATAAGTGCCTCTCAGAGCTCATTACCAGATCAGAGGCAGGTTCACTGCCAAACTGAAAAGGAGGATGAAATGAAAATATGAATGTACTGCAAATTAATTTACATTGCTCTTTATTTTACACAGTCCTCTGTCACTCAAGCACTGTCTTTAGATCATACTGGTGTAGTAATTAACTGAGGTGTTAAGTATAGCAGTGAAGAAAGGGCTGAAGCATGCACTGAATTTAAATCTTGATCATTTAGTTCTTTTCTAATGGCTGCTCAGAAAACTGGCAAAATTTTAAATGTTGGACAAACATCCAGACAACAGATCAAATGTCTTACCTTTATTTGGTATCATAAAGACACAAACTATGCACTATAATTTTCTTAAAACCCTTGTTAATTTTGTTAAAGAGTGCCCCTTTTTTTTTTTAACTCCTCAAGACAAAGCTTGTATTGTAGCACATGTGAGACATGTGACATTTTCAAAACAGTCTTGTCTTCCTGCTAATTCGGCATAGTGTATTAAGGGCCTACTTTTTGTTTGATGCTGTATGAAGTGGTAGTGATACAGACCAGTGAGATATGTCACCTGAACCTCAAGAATCTTACAGCCAAACACAGGTGACAGGTAGGTAACCAGATACTGCAGTCTAGGTGACGGATGCAGGAACAGAGGGTGTTCGAACTTAAGCAGGACACAGGAGAGGAGGTAATCACAAATAAGAGTAGGTCAGGCAAGGCTTTGTTCTGGCAGTGATGAAAGATAGAATAGGGTGGGCTGGAGTGAGTTGGAGACCATTTCAGTAATCCAGGAGCAGTGAGGATAGGAGTGACATGTATGAGACGTGTTAAATAGATATATTTAGTGTAACCCTGCGATGGATTGAATTCAGGAGTTAAGATACTAACTTGTAATACCCCAGTTGTATGCCAATGTTTTTCCCCTCTGGAATGTGTACTATTAAATTTGATGTGTTCTATTAAGTTTGAATGTTAACATGGATGACTTTGAATAGAAGTGTATTAGATTTTCAGGATAAGCTTTTATACAGATGCCTGTATCTCGGATTCTTCTGCATTCCTCTGCAGTATTTATTACATTGTATTGTGATGATTGTTGACTTTGGCTTTCCTCAAGGTGACTAAACTTTGAACTTCTTGAGGGCACTAACTCTGTCTTATTCCAATGTTTATCCCTCTTACTAGAACTGTACCTGGCACGTAGGAAGGTCTCAATGAAAGTTTAAAGCTTAAGTTCTTTTTTATATTTCAAATGTACCAAATGAAAAGAACAAATTGCATTTTATAGAGGGAGTAGAGAAATAGGTGAGAATTGTAAATATTAACATTTCTTCCACATTCAGCTAAAATTCACCTTTAGATACAAAATATAGAAAAATAACCAGAGTCGGGAGGCCTCTCTGTCAAAATAGCATTTATGGTTAACACAGCTAACACAGCTGTGTTCCGTTCTCTTTTCTCCATAGAAAAATAGAGAAGTTGTGGATTTAGTGGCCTGGTACTTAGCCTGCAGAGCAGCTCCTAATGCACCTCCCTGGATTGCAGATGTGACTGGTTAGAAGGGGCAACTGGATGCTTCCCCTGCCCCCCCACTTTCAGTCATGTCTCTGTGTCCAGCTGTAGGCAGGGCAGAAATAAATGGGCTTTGCATTTTCAATAAAACATTATATCTTCAACTGAGCCTTCTGTACAAAAGGCATAGGGATCGCCATGGGAAGTGTTTGCAGTTTTTTATAGGATGATCATGGAAGTCCTAGTTGAAAAGGTGGCTCTGGACCAAAACCCTGAAGGACGTGAGGGGATGAGCCGTGCAGGTTTTCGGGGAGGCGTGTTTTAATGGAAACTGTAAGCCTTGGATAACTGGTCTGGATGCAAACTTTTTCAAGTTATGCATGGACTGAATAGAAAGATGGTAAAACAGAAAGAGACAAGATTAGGAATTTAGAAGATCTAAAGTCTGTTTTTTTACTTACTTTGCTCTGTGATCTTGGGCAAGTCACTCAGCCTCTCTGAAACCGTTTCCTCATTTAAAAAATGGGAGTAAAAGCTGTCTTCCCTGCCTGGCTCACAGAGTTGTTGGGAGTACCAAATGCTAATATGTACATGAACAGGCTGGAAAATGTAGGGCATGATGGTGAAACATTGTATCCATTAAGATTATGTTCAGTGGTTTACACACAAAAAAAGGTTTTGTTTTGTTTTTTTACCTAACAAGGTCAAGCAGTCCATGGCTGCTGCAGCTAATCTAAGATGGTTATTAAGACACCAGACCAAGCTGTTGTTATCAGCCTTAATGTGTTGCTTTCAAAGGCGTGGCTGTGAGATGACTGCAGTATCCAGGGCTTATGTTGACAATCCAGTCAGCAAGTAGAAAGGGTGTCAAGATGGGAGGGAGTGAGCAGCTCTATCAGAAAAGCAAAGCTTTCCTAATGTTCAACGGACTTCCACCTGGGTCTCAATGGCCGGCACTGGGTGTTACATGGCCACCCCTGGCAGCAAGGGAGCATGATTTTTTTTTCTTGCTTGGAGATGTTGTCTCCCCAGACAAAATACATTAGCAAAGGAGAAGAGAGAAAATGTTTATTAGTTAGGCAACTAGCAGTGTCTTCCACAAACATGTTGAAAAAAACAAAATAATTATCATGGAATCAGCACTTTCACTATAATTTGACTCAGTTAAACGGTATTTGAGAAAAAAGCAGTCACAGCACTTTACACAAAATAAGCACATAGATTGTTTTAGAAATATAGTATATGCAATCTTTCTGAAATACTCTTAGACACTGATGATTTTAACAGAACTGGAGCTGTAAGAACACAGAACCATCTTTCCTAAAATTAGTAATACTTTTATGAAAAAAGAAAGTCTTAGGTGATTTTTTTCCTTCCTTTTCTTCAGGGTATTTTGGAGCGTCTGGATAGTGGGGAGGTTGTAGTTGGAGATGGCAGCTTTCTCATAACTCTGGAGAAGAGGGGCTACGTGAAGGCTGGGCTCTGGACTCCAGAAGCAGTACTGGAACATCCAAATGCAGGTCAGTGCCAGCGTCCCCCACGAGTGTTTATAGAGTGACATTTTGCTTAAATATGACTGGGAGAAGGTCTTTACCTATATAATAGGTAGTGTTATAAGGACTGTTTCACTTGCCAAATTGCTAAGATGCAGAGACAGTGACAAGTACATGGCTGAAGCATATAGAAAAAAATGGCCTTTCCCTCTCTCTCCCCTCCCCTCCTCACCACGCATCTTCATGTCCAGGGATGCTAAAATATACATCTTAATATTGGTTCCATGAATAGTTACCTCATAGATATTCAAGAGTTTCCATAAAGTAGTAAAACTCTTATTGCTTCACAGTCATCCTTCTGGCTAATTTGCATATTATATTATAACAGTGTGTTTGGTAAGGATGATTAATGGTAACCAGCAGCTTAACAGAGCATAGACAATAGACAGCCAGTTCTGTTGGGGACACGGAAGATGAATAAATAAATACAGTTTTGCATCATCCTCCTGGCTGAAAAAAACAGTTAGAAGTAGAAACTGTGACGGGATTGGTTAGTACATCACATTGGAACTTTAATTCTATTCTTACTCACTTTTGGGTTTGCTGTCCTATATTCAAGTGGAAAATAAAGCCAAAGAATGAAATGGTTGAAACAGGATGCAAGTTGGAAATGGGACTTTTGATTCACTCTGTTTTATTCCTATCTGCACAGTGTATCCCAGAAACCTGGGATCTTGTCTTGGTTCTCCCACTGACTGACTGTGTGGCCTTGGGCAAATAGTTTGACTCCTCCAAAGGTCAGTTTCTTCATCTGTCACAAGAGGGCATGACATGGGCTTGTCATGAGGACTCGTGAGTTAACCCGTATGAAATGCCCAGCATATCATAAGAACCCAAAGGCCATTATTACTGTTTCATCAGACGCACTAGAGTTATATGGCAAGACGGAGTTTTGTTTCTCTGGTGCTTAGTAGGAAGTTTTTCTCTCATCCAAGAAGAACTTGTTCTTAATTTTACAAGACCATTTTTGCTAAATCAGGAAGGAATGTGCTGAAATAGCAAGGATAAAGATTGTGTGGAGGGGAGATGAAAAGAGAGGAAGGATTTTTCTGATAGCCAGGGAAAGCTCTCTGACTGCATCTCCCTAGCTGCTTGCTATGGAATCAATTTCATGTGGTGCCACCCATTTACATTCTGTCCACCACAAGAATATCCTGACTCTACTTAGAGTGCTCTCCAGTGCTGACTGTAAGTAGACCAACTACATCCTTCATGTCACTGGCAGATGAATAAACTCTCTCTAGACCAAGAGACCAAGGGACCCTCGGCCAACCAATTTAACTTCTGCATGTGACTGCGCCGGCCCAGTTATGGCTCATCAGCAAGACAATATGAGGCTACTCTAAACAGCTCCAGTTTGGTATGGTCTCTGCCACGTCCTGTCCTTGAACTCTACTGACCCTTAATCTGCAATTTTTTATAAGTACTAGGTCTTAAATTGTGTCTGATTGAAAGAGATGTGAGTCCAAAAGCTACTGCAGCTGAAAATACTAGCTTCTGTGATTTTAATTTTTTGATTTCAATTAAAAAAACAACTACTTTGTAGTTCGTCAGCTTCACATGGAATTCTTGAGAGCAGGATCAAATGTCATGCAGACTTTCACCTTTTCTGCCAGTGAGGACAATATGGAGAGCAAGGTAAGCTGTAATGTGTGGGCATGTGGTGGGAGGGGTCAGGGATCATCTATAATAAAAACAACCCCTGGATGGGAAGCTATGGAATTGACCTAATGTGTTACTTACATGTTATTACAAACTCCACATAAAATATTAATGTATGTATTCTACACAAATGTGCTTTTCTGTCTTTTTAGGTAGGGAAATACAAGAGAATAGGACTGTAAAGGCTAGGCAATTAGAAGGACAGTTATCCTCCTGTGCTGTTTTTTTGTAGAGAAAGAACATTTAATAGATGCCCTTTTCACATTCTTCTTTTCTGACTTGTCCATATGGTGACAGGGTGGTCTTAGAAATACAGCACTGAACTAGGAATGACAAGAATTGGGTTTAATACGCAACTGTCCCACTTATTGGCTGTATGACTTTGTACAAAACACTTAACTACATGAAGCATTGGTTTGCTCTGTGCAAAATGGAGATAACTATGCTTAAACACAGAAGGGTGTTAAGAAAAATGAGAAGAATGTAGAATTATTGTGAGATATTCTGTAAATGAGGGTGTTAATACTCACAAATGTTAATACACATTTAGTCATTCAACCAACCAACATTTACTGAATACCTGTTATAGTCCTTTCTCTATGCTCAGTACAAAGATGATACAAAGGACCAGACCCTATTCTGAAGTGGCTCACAGTCAAGTATGGGAAGCAAACAAGCAAGCATATACTAAAATCTAGTGTATTAAGTACAATAGTGGTAAAAACACTGGTAGTAAAGCAAACGGTAGCCAATACAGCTGGTCTTCTCTAATTGCTGTTTAAAACAGCAACTTGTGCTCACCTTACTTGCTCATTGCCCCCTTTCTTGTATTATATTTTACCTTTAAAATGCCAAGCTCACCATCTGAACTCTTGCTTTCTAACCTCAGTGGAAATATGTCAATGCTGCAGCCTGTGACCTTGCCAGAGAAGTGGCTGGTGAAGGGGATGCTTTGGTAGCAGGGGGGCTCTGCCAGACATCAATGTACAAACACCACAAGGATGAAGCACGAATTAAAAAGCTTTTTCAACTACAGCTAGAGGTTTTTGCCAGGAAAAATGTGGACTTCTTGATTGCAGAGGTATGCCTAGTGTCATAGAGAAGGGATTGACTTTATTTTGACAAATGTAACTGCATGGTCTTCAACTTTCATGAGGTTATTGGACTGCTTTATACCTTCATTTCCTCCGTGTAGAGGATCAAAGGTTTATGTAAGTGCACCACAGTCAAGGCCAACATTCTCTCATTTGTACACTAGGTTCCCTGTAAAGGCAAAGGACAGACCCAGGAGAGTTCTAACTATAGCCTTTGGTTTTCTTCTCAGTGGCTGTAGCAGCTGCTTCTCAGAGGCCCCTCCAGTGTGGAGTGAGAGGAGAGTGATCCAGGGAACATCCTTGCTGAGGGGAGAGGCAAGGATGTGTGTAGGGAATAGAGGCTGGAAGGGAGGTAGGTGACTGCTCAGGTGATCCAGGCCCCCCCAGGAACACTCGGTGCCGTGTAGTTTCCTGTCCTCCTCCGAACATGCTTTGCCCTCTCCCATCTCTGCTTTCACTCATGCCAAAACACGTGGGTGAAATTTTGAAGTAAGAATTGGTCACTGATTGGACATGAAGGCGCAGAACATTCTCTTCCTTCCACCTCCAAAAATTAAAAAGCCCTTGTTCTCCATTTCCCATCACAGTTGCTGTCACCTGTAGTTAAGCTCTCAACCTAAGTCTTTACCCCCAACAAGGACAACAGCCCCCCAACCGGTATTTCCCCAGTCCCTCTACTGAACGCATGGGCACCTTGCTTCGCAGCTCTCCCAAGGCTCAGGCCCCAGACTAACCCATTTGGGAACAGGAGCACAAACTCTCCCGTGTGTTCTCTGAGCTGGATGGGAACTCAAGTTTGGGTCTTAAGAACCTTGCTTTTGACAATCTCTGTCATTCTTCACACATTGCTTCAGCAGAATCTGTTTTTAAGTTAAGAAGGAAGAAACGGAGATTTCTGCTGACTTTTCTCCACTTACCTAAGTTCAGCTTTTTGACTGTGGCACTTAAGGCGGTTCCTGGCAGGTACCCCTGCAAAGGCCATGGGTTTATCACACAAGCTGTCCTGCCCACCATCAGCAAAGAAACTCAGTAGCTATTCCTTGCTACTCTGTTTCTCAGTGTTCCCATCTGGGGAAATAATCGTATTTCTTCCTATTTCATGGAGCACTTATGAATATCTAACTACAAGTGAATATAAAAGAACTTTGAAGTATAAAGCATGATAAAATACTCACTTTTTCAGAGATTACCCCAGGTCCATAAAAGATGAGTCCAAAATTTACCAGTAAAACGTTTGTTCCTTCAAAATTATGAATTTAAATACTCAATTACTTTAAAAAACCTTTGTGGGTTTTTGGTATGTTTTTTGTTTTTTTTAGCAACATCATCTCACTGAATCAATGACCTCTGAATGAAATCTATCATTGCTAAAGAAATTAAAACACTCAGAAAGTGATCCTTTAGTCAGTCTGACAGAGACACATTCCTTAGCAAGTTTTACCACATATTATACATACTTGGTAATTTTTTGCAACATTTGCATTCTATCACTCAAAACCTGCTTTATATTTGGACCAATAGAAAAAGTGAAATCTCTCTTAGTATTTTGAGCATGCTGAGGAAGCAGTGTGGGCTGTGGAAGTCTTGAAAGAATCGGGTAAACCAGTGGCAGCTACCATGTGCATAGGCCCAGAGGGAGACATGCATGATGTGACACCTGGAGACTGTGCTGTTAAGCTGGTGAAGGCAGGTAATTTGGAACCATAACGTGATAAACAATTCAGTTATTCTTTGTGAAATTTAACAAAAGTTGCTTACTATTGTGAGAGCAATTCAGAAATAAAAGAATTAACTGGAATCGGTTACCTTGGGAGGTGGAGTGGGAGAGCTAATTTCCAAGGCACCTTCCAACTATCAAAAAGTAAAATAAGCAAATGAATAAGTAAAATGAAGAGGTCTTTATTTCTTTGCATAGGGGCTACGATCGTGGGCGTGAACTGCCGATTTGGGCCATAAACCAGCTTGAGGACAATGAAGCTCATGAAGGAGGGCCTGTGGGCCGCTGGGCTAGAAGCACATCTGATGGTGCAGTCCCTGGGGTTCCACACGCCTGACTGCGGCAAAGGCGGCTTTGTGGATCTCCCAGAATATCCCTTTGGTATGCTCAGGCTCAGGTTGGAGGTCCTTGTGCTTTCTCATCATGACAAAATGCAAAACAGCTATAATTAATAACTATGGTACAGCCTTACAATGTGAGACTGCATAAGACAAAAACATCCAATAACCTAAATGAGCTATCTGAAGAAAGCATAATTATTTTAAAAAATGCCATTAGAGCATCTAACATTTGAAAATGGGGACCATAACAGAAATGCTGTCATTATTGTGTTACAGGACTGGAGGCCAGAGTTGTAACCAGATGGGATATTCAAAAATATGCCCGAGAGGCCTACAACCTGGGGGTCAGGTACATTGGCGGTTGCTGTGGATTTGAGCCCTATCACATCAGGGCAATTGCCGAGGAGTTGGTCCCAGAAAGGGGCTTTTTGCCACCAGCTTCAGAAAAACATGGTAGATGGGGAAGTAGTCTCAATATGCACACCAAACCCTGGATTAGAGCCAGGTAGGAAATTTTAAATGAACGTTATTATTTTCCTCTAATCTCATCTCGTTTACTGTTATGAACACTATACATACACATGGCAGTAAAAATTCAAAAGGTATAAAAGTGTATAAAATGAAAAGTACAAGTTGCCCCCCCACATACCAGTTCCATTCCCAGAGGTAATGACCTGTTTTCTATTTGTGTTTTGAAGTCTTGTACTTCTGTTGCTTATCACTTTTAAGCAATACTTACTGATAACCCTTTATGAAAGCTGAGGCATTTAAATCACATAATACTCCTCTTTTCTACCTATTCTCCTTTTACCAATTTTGACTTATACATTTTTATTTCTTCTGTAGGTTATCTTTGTAAGTTTGAATTTCATTTAAACACCTATTTCTTCATCAATCAATATAAGGTAGTATCTCTCCATTATACTCTCTGGAAAATAAGAATTAACTCCCTCTGATTCCCCTATTTTTCCTTCCTATATCCCTCATGGCTTCTTTAATTTATGCCCTTAACTTTTACACCATCAAGGTTTATAATCATTTTGTTCTGCTCTGTAATGATAATTAAGTCCTCCAAGCTTTGTCTTTAGGTTTATTATAGAAATATAAAACTAGCAGATAACATTCATAGTATTATTATAATTGTCATATTAAACAAGCAGACTCATTAAATAGCATATTAAAAAAGCAGACTCGTTAAATAGAATCAGAAAGCAACTGTATTTTTGTCTCCCTCTGTCTCTTTAAACCTGCTCAGTGGGTGGATTCTTTCCTCTGTTTGAAAATACTGACATGCCCCAGGGATTATTGGGGTACTCTTAGGCAAGAGAAATCCCCATGATCACTTTACTTAGGAAAGATAGTCTTAATTCAGTAAGTAATACTGTTGAGTTCCATGTAAAATCAAAATTTGGAACACATTAAACTTAAATCTTCTGTTTTCCAGCAGTACCTTTAATAGGCAGGAAACTAGGGAGGCCAGCCTAATCTTCTCTGGTTTATGCTTCCAACCTTCCCTTCCCATCTTGCTAACAATGGTTTCAGATCTTTTCAGATTCAAAGTGAGAGAAAGAAGGGGAATATATTGTTAATACCTGACTGACACCCTAGTAGAAAAACCCACATCCTCTGGGGCTGGCTGATCTCCATGATTCTACGTAACCCCAGATTTTAAATACTCCCAAGCTGGCATTCTCTCTCCCTTACTAAGTTCAAAACTGAGTAGAGGAAATTTTCACCCTTCCTCCATGCAGACAAATTTCATGCTGTGGTCTGAACCCAATTTAACTGCGCTCTCTTTGTTCACAAAGTAGCTGGCCCATTGGTCCCTGTGATCTAATTTTCCAGTGTAGAGTCAGGTGAACCATCTGACTGGCTCTTGAAACTTCTGCAGAGTGTCCATCTTGAGACTCACTTTAATACCTGATCTCTGACTTATCTTGTTGCCACCAACAAAATTTCCAGCCTCATACCATAGCACACTGATCATTTTCTAAACATTCACTGCAGAACCAAGAGGTAAGCATGGAACAATGGGGAAAAGAAATAATTCTATTTTAAGAAGAAACTTGCACCACTTGTAGGAGAATGTTCCAAGCATCAAGGTCAAACTGATTCTCTTCTCTTCTGTTTCATCCATAGTCCAAATTTGTATCACATTTTAATTTGCTTCATACTTGGACTGTGACTGTTTTTGTACAACATTTGATTTTCTAGGAACTTCTAATTAACCTCCTTTTTCACTGTTGAAGGATGACAAGCCCTCACCTTCTCAAAGGTCTTCCAGTTTCTAAATTAACATGATTTGTTACTATCAGTCACTTTATGATTGAAGACATTTTTCTGTGTGTGGGGACCTTGAATTAGTGGTCTGTTTTTAACTATCTCTGACTCTCTCTCTCCTCTCTCTATACAATGACATCCCTTTTCCATATTCTAGAAATGAGTCACAATCTCTGTTGTCTCCTCCTCTCTGTTCAGTGCTGTTATGTATTTAACCCATTTTGTACCTCTTTATTCATTTCAGTAGGATTTAGAACAGTCTTCATTTTTGAACTGTAAAAACTTCCCTAACATAAATTTATTTAGATTGTAAAAGTAGGCAAGAAATCATTTATCCAAACATTTCTTCTAGGGAGTATGGGTATTTATCTGAGAAGATGGATTTTTTAAGTATCATACTTAGAAAAAAGTACTTAATATAAGTATAATTAAAAAGTGAGGAGAGCATACTTTGGTGATGATTAAAATAGTTCAAATAAGGGAGAAATGGCTAATTTTAATTATTATCTAGGGATCTTTAAAAATTAATTACAATTAGAGATAAAACATTATTCTGTAGAATAAAGCCAGATATTTCTTACATCCTGAACTCCCAAACATATTGATGTCTGTAAAGATTTGTGATTACACAGAAAACTTTAGACACCCCAGATTTCTGACATTTTCATCATCCAAAAATACTAATTCATTGTTTTGTAAGTTAAGTGGAAAAAACTATAAAAATATATTAACACAAAATCCTGTGCCCAAGGACCTTTGTACTCTTCTTTCTTTGTCTAAAAACAGAACAAATTCTGACAAAGTAATTTGTATTTCGTTTTGGTTACTTTTGAAGAATTATACTTTGTCTCATTATAATAAAAACCATCTTTACATATTTGTCATTACATTGAAATATTGACTAGGACTAGAAGGACCTGGCTAGAAATTTCAGAATAATGTAATTCACAAAAACATGTAAAATTTGAAGACAGTGTTTTTTTCCAAGAGGTGGTATGAAACTCAGTGATTATTATCGAGGATAGAAATGTGAGAAAGACCTGGGCATTAATGGATACGACATAGTTTTTCAGTCTATATGTTGAAGTTCTAGTCTATATGTTGAAACTGAAGTTTTACACTAACCTGATCATCCACCAAGCTTACCTGAATTTGACAAATATATGTGTGTGTGTGTGTGTGTATACACACTTAACATATATAAATACATATAACATATTGGACTAATAAAATAGATATGAATCTTTTAATTAATTTACTACTCTTTAAAACACAGGGCTAGAAGAGAGTATTGGGAGAATCTGCTGCCAGCTTCAGGCAGACCTTTCTGTCCTTCACTGTCAAAACCAGACATCTAAGAAGCAGTGAAGGAAAACACTGAAACAACAGAACAGAAGGAAATCCCCCACAAACCACATCTGGATGCATTGCCTTTATCTGCAGCCCACCCTGACATCTCCAGTGAGCAGGCTGCAGGCCCTGCAGCTCAGTCCCCGAGATGAGGGTTGCACTTCCGCTGCAAGGAAGCATGAGCTGGGTGCTGGCGAGGCAGAGATGCTCACAAAGACCCCTTGTCCTTGCCGTCCAGAAATGCTGCAGTACATTCTTTTGAAGTTCATCAGGGATAGCAAAACTTGTCATTTAGGGTGAGTTCGAGTTTTAAAAATAACCAGAAGTCACTGTGCACCAAACCTAGTGATTAATTCAGGTAACTAAGAAGGTGCTTGTGGAAGATGGAGCATTCTAAACTAAAGTAATGAATCTGCTTTTAAGTGATTTGTGTAACTCCAAAGGCAATCCGAAAAGAAGAGATGCAAAAAATGTTTTGAGCAATGGCAAAATTATTGAAATAAGTGTATAACCTCCAAAGTATTACTTCCAAGATGATTTTACTTAAAGGCATTAGGTCCTAGAATTTTTTAAAATGTATCTTTACAGTCACAAATAGCTAGATTATAAACTATTAAAGAAAAAGGACCATGTGCTGTGCTTCTTGCATATTTCCTTAAAGTATTTAGCACTGTGCTAGGCATAATGATAGATGCTCAATGAAATGTTTATTGTTGATTGTTTAAAATAAGTAAAAACAGTTTTAGAACACCTTTTTAAAAGCCAAAATTCAAATTTATTTCAATCTTATATTTTTTTGACTTATGTTTGTGTTACTTGCTATGGGCCAATTTCTGTTTTTTCAAAACAATGTATCAATTTTGACAATAAAATTAAAAATAATTTACCCTTTATAGTTTTTGAATATTTAAAATGTTATAGACTCTTTGGAATAATGATAACTAATATTTATTACTTATGTTCCAGGCTCTTGCTTCTCTCTTTGATAGACAGATGATAGGTAGGTAGATATATACATATATAGATATATAGATACTTATTTGACCCTCACAGGAATAAAAGAATGAGATAGTCTGTTTAACACAGTTTGTATACGAGGGAACTAGGGTGTGAAGAGTCTAGGCAACCTGCCTGAGCTACACAATTAGTAAATGGTGGGACTGGGATTTGAATCCACATGTCTGGCTCTGGAATCCATGTTCACAACCACTATGCTATACCACCTCTGTCGGGTACACAGCTACTGCATTTATCAGAGTCTATCCAAATTTTTCTGTTGCAAAGTTTCATGTATTTTTATAGGCTTTGCTTAATATGAATCAACCCTTTAATCCTGGCATGCTTGTTTCTGTAGACAACCTGGAACTCATTAAATGTTGCTACTTCACCCATAATATACAGTCTCACCCTGTTGGAAATTAGAGAGTCAATCATTTACAATCATCTCAAGGCTATAGTGGTCCTTGAGGATGATCAGTCCAAACCACAATGTAAGTGCCTGTACATCTTTGCCAACATCCCCAACCAGGGCCACCAGTCTCTGTTTGCACCTTTTGAAGAGCTCACTACCTCTCAATATTACTTATTCTTTTTTATGATACATCTCATTCTTTCAGAGTTATTCCACATATTAACCAGAAATGTTTTATCAACAACTTTCACCCATTGGCCCAAATATTAGACTCTGAGCAACCATAGAACAAATTTTATGGTTTCTTTCATATGATAGCTCCTCAAAAATATAAATATAGTTGCTGTGGCTTCCTTATACTTACTCTTCTTCAAAGGCATAGGCTTTTAAGATGGGCCTTGCCATTTACTAGCTGAGTGACAGTTAAGTTCTCAGTCTTTATTTCCTCATCTATAAATGAAGATAACAATGGAACCATCCTCATTGGGGTGCTATGAGGATTGAATGAGATAACAAGCTATTTAGGAACAGTGCCTGGCACATAGTAGGCACTCACTGTACATCATAGAGTGTAATATAACGATGTGGCTTGGTTTCATCCTCATGGTGACTTGAAGCCACACTTCAGCTCAAAACCTCTGCTTAAATTTAGTACTTGGTCTTGAACACCACACTCCAGGAATGGATGTTTACATAATAACACCTTGCTTAGTAGATTATGTGGACAGGAGTACAGAGCATTGGGTGAAGAGCAAAAACTAAGGCTGAACAGGGAAGGGGAGCCATCCTTCACTTTGAATCCCTTCCTTGGGTCTGCATCAGTACAAACTAAAACTTTCAGCCAGTTTCCTAAAAGTTTAGAAGTGGTGTAACAAATAGATTTGAATTCTATAGGATAGGTAGTAAAGAAGTGCTTTTAAATTTAGGTCCCTTGGCCCATTAAAAATGAAAATCACTAGAGGACCATATATGCTAAGAGTTGCTTATTTAAACTTTAGAAAGAGTAAGGTCATTCATCAGTCTTTCAGATTGACATTTGTGATATACATCAAAAAAATTAAAATATATCCTTCAGAATTTGTTAGAGGAGTGACATGGATTGAAGGATGTGAATAAAGAAAACAATAAGGAAGAATGAATTTGAAGAAGATATGCAGACCTAGAATCACAGATGAGACATGGCATTGATTAGCCTGAGCAGTTGTGTGGTTACACTCACTTGATGAAATAGTGTGCAGCCACTGAAAATTGTATTCAAGAAGAGTATTTAATAACTGCATTGTGTGTACCGCTTTGATTGATAACTTGTATTCTGAGCATTATTAGTAAGACAATAATCAGAAATATGTAGGTTTCATTTTGGGCTTCATAAGTGTCATGCTTGAAACAGGATAGTAATGAGTTGGAAGTTGACAAAACTTCCAAGAGGCAAACAGGTAACCAATAAAATAAAGTCTTTAAAAGATAGATTTCCTACACTGAAAGACTCCAAAATTTATATAGTGATTGGATTACATTTTAGAGAATAGTAAAAACATATTAGGGAAAAGTATTCAAACCATGTAGTTCTAACTCCAATTTAATAATTGTGCCCCAAAATGAAGCCAAGTATGCTCAGTCCTTCACTCTTATTTACCTTACACTGGCAATACTAGACAATACATTTAGATACATAAAAATATTATAAAAGTAAAGATAAAACTATTTATTATGCAGATTAAATGGTTATGTAGCTAGAAACCTAAAGATCATCTTGGGGCATGGGGAGGGGGTGCTCACTTACATGACTGTCATTCAGAACTCCACTCCACTCCATTTTCTTGGGCTTACAGGTGTTGTGAGAGGAGGATGTATCTGGTTAGGGACCAAGCAAGGCCTTAGGGTCAGCACTACCATCATCGCTCTTGCTTGACGATCACTATTCCACCGTAGGATCTGATGCTGTCAATCAGATGCCCCAGGAAGCACAGCACACCTGGTAGAGATGACATGAGGTGCCCGGTAGCGGGTCTGTAGGCAGTGACAGAGGGTTCAGGTAGCCTCTAAGCCCTGACACACTATCCATTCATGTGGTAACTTCAGGCCCAATTTTACTCTTCCCTTCCCAGGCAGTAGTCCTCTCCTATCTTGGGCAACTTCTGGGGATCAACTTTCAGATCCTGTGCCCGCATGTGCACCCCATACTGCCTCCTGCTCACTTCCCCCAATGCCCACAACCTTTTACATTTTCTGAAAAACCCTCTTTTCCTCTGGTCTAAAACAGGATATTAGATGAAAATCAATGGAAAAATGAGACCCAATTTCCTAAAAAGTACCCTTACTGGAGGTGGGGAAAATAATTGTTTTACATCTTTCCAGTGCAGGAAAAAAGGGGGAAAAGAATAATAAGTTTACAGATAAAAGCAATCTGAACTAATACCCTGGCACAACTGTTTGCATGCATTTGATAAACCAGAGAAGACTTTCTTTAACCNTTTTTGTAGAAGTGTAAACTGGCACATACTATTTAGAAAGCAATTAGGCTATCTATCAAAATTTAGAATTCATACACCCTTGAACAAGCAAAGTCATTTCTAGGAATGTAACCCACAATTATTTTCATATTTGTGCAGAAGCACATGTCTGAAAACCACCAAAATATCCATCAATGAAATATTAGTTAAGTGCATTATGGGACATCTACGGAATATAGGAAGTGGCACCATTAAAATGAATAGATTAGATCAACATTTACTGAAATGGAAGGATCTCCTTATTACATGGCTAAGCAGAGGTATGCTCCCATTGTAGAGAATATTTCCAGGAGGAATGCTTCCTTCCTGTGAAAGGGAGACTAAGTATGGTGTAGAAGGACACCTTCTTTTCTCTGATGCTTTTCTTAATGTTTAAATCTGTTAACATGGGTAGTTACTATTACTTTTTCAGTGAAATAAATTAGTTTTTAACTTCATATCAAAATTTCTAATTACCAGAGGGAAAATCAGATTTCATGAGTTTCCGGTTGTGATACAGAATGAGAAATACTATATCACCCATGATGCATACCAGCCAAAAGTGCCTGAGTGGAATCTAATTAAACCTTTAGATTTCACTTCCAATTTAGAGGAAATGGAGATGATATAGGAACAAAGTAAATAACACTACAAGGAAGCCATTGGATGAATCATATATTCTACAGGACAGCTGGCCTGGTCTCTTCCAGAGGTCATCTATATAGAACAAGCCAATGCAAAGCAATCCATGGGATCCTCACTTTGACAGACCTGCCATAAGAGACCTTTCGGGTACAAACTGGGAACATTTGAATGTGGACTGGATATTAAGGAATCAGAATTAATTTTGGCTATGTAGGAAAATATTCTCACTACTTAGAGATGCATACAAATCTTTTAAAATGTTGAATTACTACTTATAATTTACTTTAAATATTTTAACATATAAAAGTAGTTTTCTTTTAAAGCAAAATTTCTACAGGTTCTGAGTTGGTAGGGGGAAATTAAGAAAAAGGTAATTGTAAAAGGTTAAGAATGATAATGTCACTAAGAAAAACTGGCTTGAACTAGCTCTTGCCAGTTCCCCAGCAGGTGTTTACTGTACTAGAGAGTTACCAAGAAGAGTAGATGGCCCTCTGATAAACCTGCTGTCCTGCGTATGAAATCAGCAATGCAGACTAGCAAGTAGCTGGCATGGAAACCACCATAAGGGATCGAAGAGATGTGCTGAAACTGAGGGGCAAAGTTCAACTGGAGAAACAAATCCCACTTCCAAATGAGCATAGCCAGCATTTGATGCCCTTATGCAAAATCATAAGCAAAGTTAAGCAACCCATTTTGGCTGTACAATCAGCTGCCTTGAAAATGAGCACATATTTTGTTTAATCAATAATGAAAATGCTGAAAAGAGTTTCAGATGGGTGCAATTTTGCCTGGTATCAGAGTTATTTTATTGGAATCTTGAGCAAAGTAGATGAGGCATGCTGGCTACACCATTGCTGGCACTCTGGCAGTCACATTTCATTCCATCCTTTTATTTGGTTGGAGCAGAAAGGAGAGAAGATAGAAGGAGAAATAAAAGTTGCATTTTTCATGATATAGATCCGAATGAGCTGGCTTCTTCAAAACAGTGAAATTGGAGAAGCATCATTCCATATGATGGTGACTACTTACCTTGAGGGTTCTGTACTCTCATACCAATTATATTCAGTCACTCATTCATTTATTTACTAACTCATCCTTTTACTATGCAGATAACACTTACTAGTGTCTGATCTATGGTGGTCACTGCACTACCCCTATGTGCTTCCACAATACCCTATATTTATCATGACTAAGTACAATGTAGTTTTAATATTCCCTTGATCATTGCTACTTGCTTGCCTGTCCAATCTTTGAGGGGGCAAAGAAAATAGCTTGATAATTTCTGTATTCCCAGTTCCTGGCACATTGTAGAACTCATAAAAGATGTGTTGAATGGAGGAATG